CTGACTGTCGCAGTGGAAGTATTTGATTATTTTTTAAATGAATATTTAATTGAAACTTCATGATTTTTTCAATCACTTTGGATAACACTGGTAGGATAGAGATGGGACGCAAATCGTTCACACTAGTAACGTTCTTTTTCTTGGGCAAGGGAAAGACTTTTGATATTTCTATTATTTCTATTCTTTATTAATCCATTTAAACAGTTATAATGTTATTGGACACGTCAGAATTATAAATATAAAGGTGTATACAATAAATAAAAGTAATTAAACAAAACAATACAGACAAATATGGAAGAGACAAACGTAGAATGGTAGGCGAAAAGGGGCATTTGTATAAATTTATCTAGAACAGTTTGGTGGTGAAGCATGTGGTACAAATTTATATTGAAAATATTCTTGCACTGAATATGGACATATTTCTAAAAGCTGTTGTTTTATTCGATAATTAAATGTTTTTAATGTTGATTCATTTTTTATGCTCTGTGGCAGTTTATTGAATAATTTTATTCCAAGAATTGTTGGTGACTTAGCACAAATATTTAGCTGTGCTAACAGAGGAACAAGTTCATCTTTGTTCCTGGTGCTATATGAATGAAAGTCGCTATTACGTTTAAAATTCGATTTGTTTTTATATATGTATATTAAAAGTTCTAAAATATATACTCCGAATACGGTAAGGATTTTAAGTTTTTTAAATAGAGGGCGACAGGAATCTGTTGGTAGAATACCAGCCAAGCATCTTATAATTCTCTTCTGAGATATAAATACTTCATTAGCATGGGATGATCCGCCCCATACACAGATACCATAAATCAACCTAGAATGTACATTTGCGAGGTAAATTTGACGAAGATGGTGAGGTTTTAAAATGCATTTAAGGTTACGAAGTTGAAAACATTGTGAGTTTAAGGTTGTCGCTAAATTTTGACAGTGAGTTTTAAACGATAGATTTTCATCGAATGTTATTCCTAGAAATTTTGTGGAATCAACTGTATTTATGTGTGTGTTGTTTACAGACATATCTAGACAAGGTATATTAGAATTTTGGTATGTATGGAAATAAATGTAGTTAGTTTTTGTAATATTAAATAATAATGAGAGATTACTAGCCCATTCCGAGAATATTTTAATTGACCTATCGATTTTATTTTTCAATTGTTCTTCAATGGGATCAGAAAACAAGAAAGTCGAATCATCTGCATAGAGAATTGTGAATGCATGGTAAAGTAATTCTGGAAGTTCATTTACATAAATTGTGAAAAGTATGGGAGCTAACACTGACCCTTGGGGCACTCCTATATTATTTATTATTTCTTGAGAGAAACACTGTTTTCCTGAGTTGTTACTTTTAACCATTTGGGGTCTATTTGTAAGATATGTTTCAAACCATTTATTTTGATTGCCTCTAATTCCAGATGAGTGAAGTTTATTTAATAAAACATCATGCTGAACACAGTCAAAGGCTCTGCTAAGATCACAGAAAATCCCAGCCGAACCCCCACTACACTCAATAGATTGAAGCACTTTTTCGTATAAGGAGATAATGGCTGTATTTGTAGAGTATTTAGGACGGAATCCGTGTTGAGATTCAGATATAATCTGATTTAAGTTAAGGTATTTCATTAGTTGCTCCAGCATTATGTATTCGAATATTTTTGAAAGAGTAGAAGTCATTGAGATAGGTCGATAATTAGACATATCGTGCGGGTTACCTCTTTTTAATATAGGCGTTACTATAGATGTTTTTAATCTTTCGGGAAAAATACCTTCTTCCAGGGAATAATTAATTATATGAGTTAGTGGTGTTAAAATATATTCTGCGATTTTCTTTATCAAGTTTCCAGAGATATCGTCAAAACCGCTGGATGGTTTGTTTTTGATTTTTTGTTTTATGACTGTGTTTACATCTGATTCAGAGACATAAGAAGTAAAAAAGCTCTTTGTGGGTGACTTATTGTTATTATATTTATGATTTGTTTTTGGAGTTGAGATTCTGTTAATTGTTTCATATGGAATCGAAGTAAAAAACTGATTGAACATATCAGCTATAGTTGTTGGGTTTTCAATAATTTTGCCATCGTTGTGAATTGAAATACTCTTTGTTGTCTTTGTCTTACCTTGTAGTTCATTTATGACTTTCCATGTTGCTATATTTTTATTTGCCGAATCCTTAATTTTATTATTATAATATTCGGATTTCGTGTTTTGAACAAGCTTTCTATGATTTATTTTAGCATGATGATAACATTCATGCAACTCGGGGAATTTTTTCTTCAATTGAAATAGATCTTTTAATTTATTAGAGGACTCTTTTATGTTCTTATTTACCCAACAGCGAGGTGGTAATCTGGAAGCATTTATTTGTCTTAAAGGGCAACTAGCGTTAAAATAGTATGTTAAAGTATTGTGAAACACATTGAATTTTGAGTTGGTAGTATTTTCTTGATATATCCCATTCCAGTTTTCTTTGGAAAGGTATGTTATTAGGTCGTTAATGTTAGTCTCTCCCATTAATCGACTTTGATATGAGCTAGGATTGGTTTTTAGTTTTAGCTTATTGAATTTTAACAGGAAATTGTCATGATCTGAGTCTGTATTTAAAGTTACGATTCCTACAGTATCTTTGTAATTTGTGTAAATCTGATCAAGTACATTACTACATGTTTTGGTAGTTCGAGTAGGAGTAAAATTTTTTGGGATGAGCCCATATGATGTGACTAACTGTTCAAAGGCAAAGCTTTGATTTGAGTTCATAGAGGTATGATTAAAATCCCCAGAGAGAACTATGAAATACTTGGGCTGATAAATTTTATTTAGAATTAAGTTAAGATTGGATAAAAATGTTGTAGGATGTCCGCTAGGTGACCTATAACATGAGAGAATTATAAATGTATCGCCATTGAATATCCACCTTATACCACATATTTCTATTTCCTTCTCTATGCAATATTCTTCAAAGGAAATCGATTCAATTATGAGATGTTCTTTGGACCATATGCAGACACCACCTCGTTGATACAATGAACGACTAAAACAACTAGCTGGGTTATAACCTGGAAAATGAAATGTTTTTATATCCTGTTTAGATACCCATGTTTCTGTTAAGCAGACAAAATTTATAGAGAAATGATTGATTTCCGATATAAGGTTATCAAGTTTATGTTGTTTCAATCCTTCAATATTACACAAAAATATATCATAACAAATACTTTTTACAGGATCCTTATGTGATAAATAAACACTTTTAGTATCTATGTTATTGACATTTCGTCGGCTAAATTGACAAAATTTACATCGCTATTGAGTCCTACATTTAAGTCATTTGTTATATCTATAACATTGTCATTTAAATTCTTGTTAGAAGTTTCAGTATTTGTAACATCACAAATTACATTATTACATGTTATGTGGATCAAAGTACCATTTTTTTTGTCATTGTTAATTAAATTTGATAATCTAAGTGCTAATATTTTTTTACTAATACTATACCCATCCTTATTATTCACATCTACTATTGATACCTTGCTTTTTTCAACACATTTATCAAGTCTTATAATATAATTTATTAGTTTATCGTTAAACTTATTAATGAAAAATTCATATTTCGGCAATTTAGAAGGAACTGTAGTCAGAATTAAATTGGTATTAAGACATTGTTTTAATTTAAAATTTAACAGTTTGAAAGAAGGGTAATTATGATACAGAAAATCATTAAAACCAGCTTGAATAATAACAAAATCATTTAAAGTAAATGTTTTTGTTAGTCGATCTATGTATTCAATCACATCTTTAAGGCAGGCGCCAGGTTTAATAATAGTTTCTATACTATATTTATCCTTAAGTTGCAAATTTAATAATCTACCCAAATTTCTACCCCCCTCATCACACAAAATTAAAATTTTATTTTTATTGTCTTTATCCCCTCGACGCGTCACTGTTATGTCATTCATTGGTTTGGTTACTTCATGGGCTAATTCATTAATATTTTTTGTTGATTCAACACGTTTGTGGGTTGTATTAGAGAACTTGTTAATATCATGTGTAAGATTTTTCAATTCCCAATTGTATCTAGCATTTTCACCTTCTAAAAGTTTAATACTTTCCAGCATTTGCCTGCTTATCCTATCCAAATCCTTTATCTCATAGCTTCCAAGATTCCGGAAAGATGCAATCGGTGAGGCAAACATTTATGATATGTGTAATTATAGGTAAAATTTCAGGACAGCAAAGAAGTAGCATGTGAATATTTAACTGATCCGCTCCCGAAGCTACAGACTTTATTTCGACCAAATACTTATATACGACTGGAGTACTGACAACACTGAATGAAAATATAGAACATAAATTATCCTTTAGGTTATTACTATAGAATTCAATTAGATCAGTGTCTGGTTCTTTATTACGTGCCGACGGACCTAAAAAATGATTATTAATTTCATCTGGCTTATTAAGGTTAATAGGAATCGAATTCATGGGATATTTCGCAGATATATTAAATTCTTTAATTTTTTTCCAAAAAATTTTACCATTACCTTTGGATTTATTTATACAATTTGGAATATCGTTGGAATAAACGTGTAAAGTAAGCAGGAGACTATTAAAAAAATAAAATGTCTAAAACCGTTTTCTTTGTTAGGAGAGGTAGTTATCGAATAATCCTCGTAGTCATTAAAATGTATTAAAAGTAAACGAAATTTATCATCAACGCGAACAACTATGCTTCTTATCGGTCCCAAGTTGCTGACCTAGATTTTACATGACCTATGACAACTTCAGTGATGTACGACTGATTTGACATAAATTTACAACATTTAATTACTTTTGTTTTATTTATTTTTTTCAAAACAATATTTTTTCCAATTCAAAAGAGTCTAAAGATTAAACTATTTCAATAACATCTAAAAATAAACGCCATAACGTCCCTTGGTCACTAAAATTCGCAATTCTGCTCAGTAAAATGCAATTTATTCAAAACAAATATCCAGATTGTCACTTACCCTGAAGAGGGTCGTTTTTGACGCCATTGGCGAAGTTCAGTTTAGCGCTGGCCGTCTGAAAGGTCGGAGTATCGTCGACTTCTATGAAATGGTCATCGGGTAGCGTGGTTTCGTCTCTCGGCATTTCGAAGAAAGAGAGCAAGGCCTGTAGAATAGTATTTTACATTACAAGTGTGGAAATAAGATATTTTTCACACCAGTTGGAAATATATTGTCACAAGAGGTGCGAGCCGAATAAAGGACGTTTAAACGTATTATATTTTCGTTTTTTTACCTGTAACAGTTGAGGCCAGTATTTTTGGTACGTTCCTGTATACATTTCGGGACATTCGCATAACAGTTTGATCACGCCGATTGCGACGATTTTCCTTTCGACATCGCCCGCAATTTTTTGCAGTTCGGCTATAAGTAGTTTTTCCAGCACCATGCCGAACATTCTGAAATTTAAAAATTAATTTGTTACCAATAATTTTCCTATGAACATAATAAAATTACGCATAAGTCTAAATAAAATCATGTCATCTGTCAAGTCACTTTTGAAGGTCGTAGAAAAAATATTGTATGCAATTCATGTATCTAACTAGTAATTAAGTAGCGATTGAAGCAGTGACGAGTGATAGATGACATTTTGTGACCTTGAAATCCATAATCAGAAGTCAGAACTGGCTTAACTCATCTACTTTGCTGAAATTTTTATCTTGTTTAATCGGTTAATGCTTACTGCGTTTGAATTCCATCTATTAACGATACCAGATCGTTCGGTGAGTATTTAACCATGTACAAACAAAAGAATACTATCAGATTTATCACATATTTAGTAGTTTTGCTGGACGACAGCCTTTGGAACAGAAGGAAAAAGATCTGCTTATGATACGGAGCGAGAGCCTCCCTGAAAAAAAAAATCGATAAGTAAATCGCTAAAAAAAAAAACGATACGATTTGATTACTTACATCGGTAAATGTTGAATCAGACCCTGCATGAGGTAAAATCCTTCGTGATCGTTGGATTTCGACGCTATCAGTTTTTGGAAAACTCCCAAAAATCCGCTCTGAAAATTGAATCGACGATAGATACGTATAAATAATTAATTTAGGTGAATCGTTAACAATTATGTATGAAATATATTTGTGTTCACTAAATCTCCGTACTGAAAAATCGGTTCGTTCAATATGAACTAGTAAAGCTAGTTAACTCTAGAGAAACGTTAGACAATCAAAGGAGAGCGTTTAAGTCCACTTTCCATGATTTTTCCCCAGATCTATAGAAAAAAGTTGAAGACATGGCAACATCGCAAAATGCCTTAATTTCGAAAAGGTATTCCAATTATTAAAAGTGAATAACAGATTTCGTTACTCAAGAAATTTTTTCATGCGATTAATTTTTGTTGATTTTTATTTGCTATTTATTTTTACTAATTTTTATTTATTTTTATTTATTTTTATTTATTTTTATTTATTTTTATTTATTTTTATTTATTTTTATTTATTTTTATTTATTTTTATTTATTTTTATTTATTTTTATTTATTTTTATTTATTTTTATTTATTTTTATTTATTTTTATTTATTTTTATTTATTATTTATTTTTATTTATTTTTATTTATTTTTATTTATTTTTATTTATTTTTATTTATTTTTATTTATTTTTATTTATTTTTATTTATTTTTATTTATTTTTATTTATTTTTATTTATTTTTATTTATTTTTATTTATTTTTATTTATTTTTATTTATTTTTATTTATTTTTATTTATTTTTATTTATTTTTATTTATTTTTATTTATTTTTATTTATTTTTATTTATTTTTATTTATTTTTATTTATTTTTATTTATTTTTATTTATTTTTATTTATTTTTATTTATTTTTATTTATTTTTATTTATTTTTATTTATTTTTATTTATTTTTATTTATTTTTATTTATTTTTATTTATTTTTATTTATTTTTATTTATTTTTATTTATTTTTATTTATTTTTATTTATTTTTATTTATTTTTATTTATTTTTATTTATTTTTATTTATTTTTATTTATTTTTATTTATTTTTATTTATTTTTATTTATTTTTATTTATTTTTATTTATTTTTATTTATTTTTATTTATTTTTATTCATTTTTATTTATTTTCGTCCTTAAAATGTGAAAATCCAAAAACCTTGAAAGACTTCATTATTTGTTTGGGATGAGTAGCTATAATTTCAATTTTCAAGTTCCTACCTTTAATTGATATTTCCACACAAACTTTCACCCCCCGTTTTCTCTGCCCCCCCATATTTTGCTGTGTTACCAAAGCAAACAACTTTTTTTCTCCAGATCTGTAGAAAAATAAGAGAGCATTGAAGCGCTGCTACTGTGACATCATGCTAACAGTTCACCCAAGTCAAATTAAAGAAAAAATATTTGTGGTCACTTAATCCTATAGGTATCAAAAAATTGGTTCGCCCAATATTAACTATTATATATCTGAAATTGTCACTACGATATCTTACTTGTCTACTACCCAGCAACAAGCTAGTTAACCAGAGAGAAACGTTTAAAAGTAGAAGGAGAGAGAGAGAGCCGACTTTCCACGAATTTTCCCTAAATCTGGGGAAAATTTTAATACAAAGCAACATCGCAAAATACATTATTTTTCTGAATAAATCAATGTGACTGTCAAGACATGGTAACACTTCAACGGTATATCTTTTGAAAAGTCATTTTTAATTTTTTAGAACTACACATAAAAATAAAACAGTTCTGGAGAAATCGCGCATTTTGCGGTGTAGCCAAGTCTTAAAATTTTTACCCAGATCTGGGGAAAATGAAGGGAGTATCTTGAAACGTTGCTTCTACTTCGTCTACGTTTACATCATGTTTAAAGTTCAAATAAGTCAAATTAAAGAATTAAAAAAAAAATGGTGCTTACCAATTTATCTTGCGCCACAATTTGTGGAGCAGCTTGAGTAGCGAATGCAGTCAGCAGTCTAACCAATGGACTAACATTGGCAGGTCTGTCCCACAATATCGGCGCCAACAGGCACGGCAACAGCTGCATGTAGGGCTCCGGGATTGTTCCCTGTGGCGTATTTTCCATCAATAAAGACAGTATTTGAAATACGTACGGGATAAACTCTAAAAAAGAAAATAAGTTAAATCAACACTGTTGAAAATCCCTGTATTGACGCTCACCTTGAATGTCCTGCTGCAAAATCCCTTGGAAAATCGGAAAAAGAATATCTTCGAAAGACGTAACAGCGCCCGGATTTGCTTTGCAAACGATTCTACAAAAAGAAAAATAAACAAACATAATTTACAATCTGTAAATACTAATGTTTAAGTACTTACTTGATGGCTAACGAGAAGCTTTCGAACAGATAATGGTTGAAATGGGGTTTGGAGGGATTCTTTGCCACCATCTGCAATTTTTCTGTCAATTTCGGCAGAGCCACACCCAAAAACGGAATCACCCTTTCCTGTAAGGTCGCGAACGTTCTCATCATAGCTGAAAACCCAAGAAAAGATCGTCAAATTAAATTGAACAATTATATGGGACAAAGTTATCACCAAATGTAAGGTTTTGTATTAGAAGTAATCAGAAATAAATTTAGATGAACAATCAGCAACAATGTTTTTCTTACCTTTCATAATGTACTCGTTTTCTTCGGAAACTGGCTGTTGCAACACGCCAAACAAATTGCGTAGAAGGTCAGTAGCTAGCGGCTCTAATTGTGCACCTGTAACGCTGAAATAAAACATTTTAATGAAAATCCTACGAATATTTAGCTGCTAGCGACTTACATCGGTTGATTGTTGGTTCTTAAAATAAGAATCTTCTCTAGAGTGCAAGCGGCGTACGTGTGAACTACTGCGCTCTCGCTTGGAATATGTCTTATCAACTGGGGTAAGGTAGACACCACGAGATCGCTGGGTAAGACCGATCTGAATGTCATTACATATTTTATGGCATCCGCTTTCAGTACAGGTAGTTCGTTGACTGAAATAGAGATAGTGTTGATTATTCAAGAAATTTTTTCCATTGGTGGTTTTGAGACTTACCATCAGGTCGTTCCAATTCTGGTAAAATGTGCTGTTGACAAAATTGCGTAATGTTAACGAGTTGGCTGGTCTGTGTTACACCGTGTTTTTGAGTAGACCCTCTACTAACCAATGAAGTCACCAAATATAGAGCAGCATCTTTGCTTCTCCAAAACTGCTTGGGATTTTCCGTATATTTTCCCAACATCACCTTTGGAATGCAACAAAAATCTTTAATAACGAATATTGTATACTTTCCAACAAACAACAAAAAAATATAGTGACCTACTTGTAAATATTGACCGAAAATTTCAATTATACGCTTTTCAAAGTTTTGACTCAGAGTATTTACTAAGTCACAAGCGGCTCGTCTACGTGTATCAATATCAGAACCTTCGATATCTCTTCTTGTATACTCTTCGGGGTTGTCTTCGAATAATTCCTCATCGGATGCTGAAATAATTTGAATTATACCATTTTTATATAGTTCAGAACCGTCATTACTCACTCCTGAATTCCATATTTGGTATAATAACTTTTTCGCATATGCTGCTCAAAACGTTGTCGTCCTCGAACAAATGTCTGTATTGATTTCGTTCGGCTACAGATGATAGAAATTGTAGAGCATTCGAAACGAGCTAAAAATTATGTTAAGTTGGTTACAAACATCATTTTAAGACAATCAACCAACTTTAACAAATGTAAAAGTTGTCAGTTGTCATAACACGAGAAAAAATTAAGTTAGGTTAGTTAAAAACGGTATTTTAAGCCAAAAACAAAGTCTAACACATGTCAAAGTTGTCAACAGTCAGAATACAAATAATGACATATTTATAATAATCACTGGACGTTATTTTGTAAACGACTAAAAATGCTTACCAAATCGTATTTGGGTTGCAAGCCAGTTGCAACTAAAAGGCTCCAAACGTCTGTAACGAACTGCGGCAAATATGGTTGAAACTCTTCGTCGTATTTTTGAGCGTATAGAGCTACATTATCACAAACTTGTGATTTTAGTTGTTCTATTACACCAGCTTCATCACTGTCCTAAAATTGTCAGATATTAGTACTAATATTACTGACTGAGATTGAAATTGATAATAGCTTACATTTTTTTGTAAACTTGGCACTTCGACAGTGAGAAGAGTGTGGAAATTCGTCATCCAAATCTGAATATTATCCTCGAAAAATTCCGGGAGATCTTGGAAATTCAACGAATAGAATACTTTGCAAATCAACACCAAAGAGCTATAGATTACTTTCAAAGCATTCACATCGTTTGTGTGGGTTTGCGATAAATTTATAGTGGCCTGAAAATGTAGGAAAAACCCGTCAAACTGGAGTTTTTAAAAATAAAAATAAGAAAAGAAGTCTTACCACTAATAGATCCGTTAAAGGTTGAGCTATTTTTTGCAAAACGTACTTTATTTCCGTCCATAACTCGTTTGACTTGAATTCGTATCTATATTTTTTAAACAGAGAATGTGCTGTTCTTAAAACTCCGTTTATAACATTAAAATCACCTAAAAAAAAAAAGAAAAAATAACTTAATGCCATATTAGTGTGATGCAATGTTGGTTCCACTGACAGTCAACTATTAACCAAACTTTTAACAAAAACACCATTAAAATGGACAATACCGTCGGTTTAATTTTAAACTCTCGTAAGTAGAAAATTTACAAAAATAACATAATACTTTACTCTAAAGTCAATTAACAAAATAACATTTTTTCAAAAATAGCAAAATAATACCTTACCTAGTTGTAATTAAATTATTACAGCACATATTTAAAAAATCAATGAATTTTCCAGAATTGCATGTTTTTTAAGCCCTACTGTTAAAATGGTCAAAACTGATTAAGTTTTAAAATTAAGCCGACAATATATGTTTTTACTTTTTTAGGTTTTTAGTACGTTTCTAAATATTGTTTACAAACCATAAAAAACAGTTTGAAGGTATATAATTGGTTACTAAACGATTATATACTTGATCCATGTTATTTATTTAATTTAAAAATATATTTTTAAAAATTTAAAAAGTATATAATTTATTTTACATCTATTGGTAATATTTATTATACAAATTAACAGTCATAGTTATGAATTGATAATTCTAGTCTAAACCTTAAGGTCTGAACAGTCAAACATTTTTAAATTAAATTGTGGAAATCAGAATTTGATGTAGAATCTTATTTTTTAGACTAACAATAATACTTAAAGCCTTCTTTTGAGTCTGAAAGATTTGATTGTATGTAAAGACTGGCCCCATAAGAGCAATACATAAATGACGTTGAAAAAAGGTTGTTATAATAGGGATAAATTTGCAAGTACGTCAGCTGCTAAGATCATCTGTAATCATTTTAGTATTATAAATGTAAATAGTCAATCTATTGTTAACAAAACAAACCGAATTGAATTTTTACAGAATCAATATAATCCAGACATTCTTTATATAACTGAATGTTGGTGTAATAATACCTCAAAGCAACAAAATTCATGGTGGATTACTTATTTTAATAAAAGAAACCATTACATATAAATATAAGACAGTAATTTTTATAAACAGCCTATAAGAAGAAATACATTTCGAAAGCTGTGCTATATCGTTTTCTGTAAAGAATATGAACTCTATTATTATAAACGTCTACAGAGCTCTCTCTGGAGACATTGAACTTTTTATTGAAAAATTGTCATATATTTTGAATCATGTTGTTGTTTTCTATGATGCTGTATTTTTATGTGGAGATTTTAACATTGACTTTCTAACAGATTCTTATAATAAACATCTCCTTACTGATCTTATTCTGAGTTTTATACTAACTTGTTAGAATCGCGACTCCACATGGGTTATGTATAGATAAAAACAACCGCATTACTAAATCTAAAATAGACTATTTTTTAACAATTTTTCCTATATATACTGAAACTGTGGCTGATTTTACTCCAGGTGATCATTTTGGCTTGGATGCTATGCTTGAAGATATCCCATGTGCACATAGTAAAATTAATAATGAAATAGTAACTTTTAGAGATATTTATTTTACAAACTTAGCAAATCTTAATGCAAAACTAAATAATGAAGATTTTTCGCCCATGTATGAGTTATACAGTACTGATGATGCTTTTGATACATTCTTTAGAATCATTTCATATCATATTGATGTAACTTGTCTCCTTGTCAGACCAAAAATGTTTAAAAACAATACATCAAGGCAATGGGTAAACGAAAACAGTATACGTACAGGTAATGATCTTAAAAATTTGTATTGGCTTACTAAAACTTGTGACAGCTTAGAATTGTTAAGAAATTACAAATCAAAAAAAAAAGATTGTGTAAAAAAGATCATTATCAAAAATTGTTAGAAAACAAAAATCCTTAACAAAAACAAAAAATTGTATGCATACAGTACACTCTACAATCGGCAAAAGCAAAGCTATCAAACTAATACAGATTAATAATGAAATAGTAACTTTTAGATATCTTTCTTTTACAAACTTAGCAAATCTTAAAAAAAAATAAAATAAAAAAATTGTTTATTGTCCAACAGGAAAAACCCAATTACAGGACAAACTATACAGTTTGTTAATATTTGACTTAATTAGCCTAACTTAACCTAATAATAATTAATAATTATATAAATATTATTAACACTAACAAAAATAATTGTAATGTTATTTTATTTTTAATTTTTTATTGAGTACCTTATTTTCATCTAACCTTTTGTTTTAATTTATACTTTAAATTAAAAAACTTAATGCAAAACTAAATAATGAAAATTTTTCATCCATGTATGAGTTAGACAGTTAGTACTGATGATGCTTTTGATACATTCTTTAGAATCATTTCGTGTCATATTGATGTAACTGTTTCCCTTGTCAAAATAAAAATGGTTAAAACCAATACATCAACAAAAACATTATACGTACAGGTTATTATCTTAAAAATTAGTATTGGCTTACTAAAACTTGTGACAGCTCAGAATTGTTAAGAAATTACAAATAAAAAAAAAGATTATGTAAAAACAAAAAACAAAAATCCTCAACAAAAACAAAAAAATATAGAATACAGTACACTCTATAACCGGCAAAAGCAAATCTATAAAGCCAATACAGATCAATGTTGACAACATATTAATATCTGACAAAAAAAACTGTAACTAATTTTTTTCTAACTATTTTTCAACCATAGCTAGTAACACTGTTAGATATAATTTTGACAGTACAAATTTTCATAACTACACAACTATGCATGTAAAAAATACATTCTTCTAGATAGAATAGATTTCCAAGAAGTAATTGCAGTCATTAGTTCTATAAAAAAAAATACTAATGCAATGGGTGTAGATTACATTACAACTAAAATAAGTAAATCTATTGGTCATTATATAGGAAACCCAATTGCATATCTAATCAATATATCTGTAAAAAATGGCATATTCCCCCAAAGAACTTAAAACTGGTATAGTATCACCTATTTTTAAAAAAGGCGATTCAACAGCTCTTGAAAATTATAGATCTATCACAGTACCTACTGTTCTTTGTAAAATGTTTGAAAAATGTACGTATAAAAAAATGTTATCATTTAAATCATTTAAAATTATTACAGATCAACAACATGGGTTTATTCCTGATAAGTCAACTACTGCCTTTTTTAATTATGTCCATAATCAGCTGGAAAAAGGTTAGAGGGTGCCCTCTTTTTTGATCTATCTAAAGCTTTTGACACCATTGTGCCAATTTTTATTGGCAAATTAAGTGCTTTAAGTTTTAGGGGTAACTTTTTACAATGAATTAATTCCTATATATATTCTCGTAAAATGTCTGTTAGAATCAATTGTTGCTTATCAGAAGTAAAGGATATGGATCATGGTGTTACTCAGAGATCAGTATTGGGTCCACTCATATTTCTCCTTTACATAAACGACTTGCCTAACTTCATCTCATCCAGTCACATTTCAATATATGCAGATGATACCAATGTTGCTGTCGATGCAGAATCATCTGAGAAACTTCATTCCAAATTGTCTCTTGTTGCTAGAGAATTTACTGCATGGTGTAGAAGAAATGCATTACCTAATTGTAAATGCCAACAAAACAGTACTCTTTCAATTCCACTCTAGATCAAGAATAAAGAATAAGTAGAGATTTTTTAATACAAATAAATAATGATTTTATCCCACTGCCCATGAAGACAAAATTCCTAGGAATTCTTATAGGTGCAGATATGAGCTGGAGTTCCAATACTGACTCCGTTTGCAATAAATTAAATAGTGCGTACTATGCAATTCTCAAATTAAAAAATATGTTGGACATCAGATAGTTTCTCCAAGTTTACTATGAGCTGACAACATATTGCTTTGGGGAAATGCGACTGGTACGTTGACTCTTTATTTGTCAAAAAAGACTAATAAGATTAATTTTTAACCTAGATGCTAGAAGTACATGTAGAGATAATTTCAAAAGATATAATATACTGACTTTTCCAGCAATATACAGGGTGTCCCGAAATTAGACGGTCATATTTTAACAGCGTAATCTACATCCTAAAATAGGAATAACAGTTTATATAAACATAGGTCCGAAAACGTTTCGTTTTCGAGATACAGGGTGTTGCAAGTGAAGTCCCGATGGCACATTTTTGTAAATATTTTCTAAAATTTCTTTAGTTACCGGTTTTCCAAAGTTAAAAAAAAAAAAATAATAAAATTTCTGATTCTGCAGACCTACTAATTATTGTTTACACTTTCGAATAAGATAACATCAACTTATCATGAAATTTTAAAATGCTTTTCTCTTAAAAATGACGTGTCCTAGCGAGATGCAACAAATTTAGCTTTATTATAAAGAAAATATTGGTTTTCCAAATTTTATAGTCAAAAATGTTAAAAACTATCAACAAAAAAAACTTAAGACAATTTTACCCTAAGCCCCCCCTAATTTACCCACCTATGATGATGATCCAAAACTGGGGTTTAGTCCCATAAATATAGCGTAAAAAGGTATTTGTACCAAATTTTACCTGATTATCTTTAAACGTTTAGAAAATATTTACAAAAGTGTGGTATCAGGACTTCACTTTTAACACCCTGTATCTCGGAAAAGAAACGTTTTCGGACCTATGTTTATATGAACTTTTACTACTATTTTAACATTTGCCTATAAGAGTGGTCATTGTCAGCAAGCATCCAATCATGGATATAGTAGAAGGGGCACAATGAACCAGCTACTTGTTACACCACTTAACAACAAGAACATAAGTCACCGTTTTGTAACATACATTCTACCTAAAGCTTATAATTTATTACCTATTTCCATTCAAAAATGTGTTAACCTCAATACATTCACTTCACTATCAAACCATACATATAAAATAGCTACAGGGACTTCTTGAGAATTATAAAAACATAAAAATTTCATATTTATTACTTCTAACCACAATAAATGATTTGAATAACTATTTTTCATTTATATATAGCAAATTCTTAATTTGTATTTCTTCATTTTCCACATTTTATATTGTATGTATTGTAAATGTTCCCTTTCTTATTTTTTCATTTCTGATATCTATTTATCTATGTATTCATTTCATGCTATTATTTTTTCACCACACAATACTTACAACTGTGTACTCACTTATAGTGTGAAAGAAATAATATGCTAATTTTCTAATTTTAAGTTTTTCATGTTAATATCTCCTTTGTTCATTTTTGTATATTGTATTATATTTTATATTCCTATTGAGGAATAAGTAAATAAAAATAAATAAATAAAATTATTTTTGTGTAACAGAAATGTTTGTAGATGGAATAAAGGCATGGTCTGTGGATGGAATTTTATAAAGTTAAGTTTGTTTTAAAATAATCTAATATGTCTTATTAACTTATAGATTATTCATTATAAACTTGATTATAAATAGGCATGTGAAAAGGTAAATATTGAAATAAAAAAAAAACTTTGGGCATATATATAAAACATACATGAGTAACAAGGGACAGTGAGGAAGATCTGTGAACAACTGTAAGAAAAAAATAATTTTCAAATTTGTTTGAGTTTACTTTCATTGCCGTTCAGAAATTTTAAACAAATGAGAATTACTATAGAGAAACCTAGGTAAACGATCTAAGAAAATTAGCCTACTCGTGTGTAAGCACCTGAATGTGCTCCTATGCCTCACGTTCATTTTATTCCATAACAAAACTGTCAAATCCTCTATATGCAGGGATAAAATGTAAAAAAGTACTTTTACCAATCGAATAACTTACTCTACTTCTAGTTCATTTACCTGTGGAAAATTTTTCTACCATTTGAGTTATGAGTTCAGGCCATTTTAATGGAAAATCAGTTTTTCCGATTATGCTTATAGCATCACTTAACTGCTTCTGAATAGATTCTGGAGAACTCAACATTAACGTAACAATCAGATTCTTGATTGCTAAACGATCAGTTGCATGTATACGATCCGTTTGATCTTCCTCCTAAAAACGCAATCGTTTTTTACAAACAAACTGGGAGAAAATACCCACCTGATACCTACCACAAACCAATTTCTTTTTATATAATTTTTAAAAGCCACAGCTCCGGCTACTCTAATAGTCATGTCTGCTTCCGGTTTGTGGACCAAATTCAACAACAGCAATGGATAATTCTGATTTACTTCTACTCCTTCCAGGAATTTTTCAGCTGCAAATAAGGAATTTGTACTAATGCAAAAAACAATGGAGAATTTTAATCTCACCTGGTCTTCTAACATTTATGTCCGGATTTAGTGTCTCTTGTAGGTATCTGCTTAAAGTTTGTATATTTTCATCGGACACTTCCATTTTTATGCGAAATTATTTAGTACAATAGTATTTATTAATTTATTTGAATCAGTTCAAGCTAACCTATAAAAAACCGGACTGTGGAATTTAAATGACATGACAATGTTGACAGTTGACAGATTTGACAGGTTTAATTTCAGGCAATTTTTAGTGAGTGATAACTATATTTTTCTTGCTTTTACCAAGTAACTTATCGATAAGTCCGTCTCTTTTTATTAATAAAATAAAAAAAGTTGTTTTCGTATAAAAGCAACGCTGCCGAATCTCATATTTCAACACTAGATATACAGGGTGTTTTTCAAAAAAGTATGTCATAAATTCTTCCTTGGATAGATTATCAAAAAATAAGTGGATTTGGCTACATTTACTTATATCAAAAACTGGCTCCTAAGAAAGTTACAGAGCGTTAAACTAACATTCAAAAAAACTTTTTTTTTTGTAAAAAGTTTGCTGTTGCGATTTTTTCTTTGAATTTTTTGCCGATGCTGTAGATTTGAAGGCCCAATATTCTGAGGAGAAAAAAAATTAAAGCGACCCCCTCTATATATTACTGAACTCTAAAACACTGAGAAAACTTGGCAGTTTTTTGTCCACGAATCGCCCATTTAGTTTCGCTTCTTGGGTAGGTATTCTTTGACCTCGATAACGATAACCTCTATTTTTTTACTGTCGCTCTCATTGTAACACAAATTACGATAACTGATGTTAAAATATTCAAATCTGGCAACAATGGTATAGATGTTAAAATTCGTAAAAGGCGCGGGAAACCTATAAACTTATGTGGATTTTATGGTTAAATTATAATTAAATAATATTTATTTTATTTGATGTGAATTTAAATGTGAAATGTACTTTGATTAATTTGTTTTACTTTGATTAGGAATTTTAAATATGGTTTTACAAAATTCGGGCAAATATAGGACAGAAAGGTCCGAAAAATCCGAACAGAATACAGAAGGAGCACATCAAACAGGTAGAAGGTATTAAAATTATAATTATATTAATGATTTATCTTTTCATTAACTTCATATATTTTTAGAGAAGAAAGCTCGGAATTTCGTATTAGCCAAGTTATCGAAAATGAAGCTATTGACCTCAAATATGGTTTCGAAAGAGTTAAAGATAAGCAAGAAAGAACTGGATTTCTACTTAATATGCACTCGGTACATATTATTAATATTTAAGCTACTTGTAGCATGTACATTTCTTTATTTACAAATTTTAACAAATGTGATAATGATAATTTTTACAATTTTTAACAGACGGAAATCATAGATGAAGATAAAAGATTATGTTCAGCTGTGGATTATTATTTTATGGAAGAAGATGGAACCAGATTCAAAGTTTCATATCCATTTATGCCCTACTTTTACGTTTTAACACAAAGGGAACTATTACAAGAAGTTATTGAATTTTTATCAAAAAAATACGCTGGTACAATTATAAATGCAGAGGTCATTGCGAAAGAAGATTTAGATCTGGTAAGTCAAATATATTATTACTATAACTACAATACATTATCTATTGGATTATTTTTTAGCCTAATCATCTAATAAATTTAAAACAGAAATACATCAAACTGTCTTTTGTAAATCAAACTGATTTAATTAAAGTGCGGAAGGAGATATTAAAAGTGGTGCGAAAAAATAGGAAAAAAGACAACAGCAATGCTTATTACACTGAAATGTTGACAAACACTTTAACCCATAATTATGAATCTTCTGTTCATAAATATAAGAATTCTGATCAGATGGAAAATATAATAGATATCAGGTATTATACAAATTAATTATTGATGAAAACAGACTTGGGTACAGCACATTTGCCAAGTGCTTTAAGTACTTTCAAGGCTTCAAGTATACTGTGTGTCACAATATTTTTTAATATGAGTATTTTATATTTGGTATTTGAAGCACTTTGTAGAAGTACTTGGGGCTTTAAAGCCCTTCGACTGTATTTGAATTACTTTAAAAGTGCTTTAATTACTTTAGACCCAATTTCAGAACTGTTTAAAGTAATTGAATTAGTTTCTGAATTAATAATTGAAATTTTGCAATATTTAGACAATTGCCACAATTTTATATATTTTTTAATAAAAACAAAAATATATATTTATATTTTTAGTGTGGTTTTGTTTTTATTCATTAGTGGTAAAAAATGGTTTATATATATTTTAATATTTTCAAAATTAATATAGTGTATAACTTCAAATAATAATAATAATAATAATAACAATCAAAACTTTATTTATAAATGGAGTACAATAAAATAAAGAAAAAACATGTATTCAAAATATAAATAAAGTTACGAGTATCAATAAGTACTGTTGTACTTGTTTTGATAATTGAAAATATGACTAAAATTTATGTTTAATTTAGAGTCATGACTTTGAGATCGGAAGGTCTCAGGTTCGAATCCCACCGTTGGCCGGGATTTTTTCATTTAATTTAATTATTTAAAATTAATTCTGATGCCTTGGTAGGATTCCCCACTCGACCATTCACTGTTGGGTTCTAATTAACAGTGCTGTTCCTAAAGTGGCGCTGGGAAACAGTAACAAAGCCTGCACAGAACACGAGGCTAATGGCCGTAGTAGTCGACGCCAATGACACCAAATAAAAAAAAAAAAAAAGTATAATAGCTAAAATTAGATTTACAATTTAAAATTTACACTAATAACTAGAATAAGTATACAATAAAGAATAAAATATAATATATATTTAGTAAGAGAGTGCTAAAAATGGATTCAATTAAAATTATTTATATAATTTATCTATTAAGGCATTAAAAAAGGATCTTGGAGTCTTTTGTAAAAATTTTCTTAAGTTTTTTTTAAATGTACTTGTGTTTTGTATCATTTTGGTAGTTGTTTTAGGGATAGTATTGTACATTTTAGTGGCAATGTATGAATAGGCTTTCTGTGAGTGATTTCTTTACCAATGGATGTGTAAAAGTAATTCTCGATGACTGGTGTAGTACTGATGATCTAGATGAGATGCTTTATCATCACTAGAATGGTATTTAATGCATGTATTGTAATAGAACAGTTGTCTCAAATCCATTATATCCGATATTTTATACAATTTATCAGTCAGATACCTAGAGGGTTTTGACATAATTATTTTTATAATTCGTTTTTGGATAGTTTCAAGGGTATTTATATAGGTATGTGCAGCTGCGTCCCATATCGGAATTCTATACCTAAGATGGCTTTCAACAAGAGCGAGATAAAGTTGTTTTAGATATTTAATAGGTAAGAACTCTTTTAGATGTTTAAAAGAGTAAATAATTTGCTGCAATTTTTTTTCTACCTGATTAATATGTTTATTCCACCTTAAGTGACAATCCAAATATATCCCCAAATATTTCATTTTGACAACCGATTTAATGCCAAAATTTTTTCCATTAATTTCAATGTTAATTTGTTGAAAGTATGTTACTCCGCTGGCGTTACAACTAAAAGGTAAAAATTTGATCTTATTTAAATTCATTGTTAAGGGCTTATGGTCGAACCATTTTTTTTATTGCCTTAATGTCAGTGTCTACTTTTGCTTTGAGTTGTTGCCAAGTGTCTGCTTCATAAAAAAATGGCAGTATCATCTGCGTATCCTATGATTTCACCAGTTAAGTGAAACAGCTCATTCACATACAGATTAAACAAAATAGGCCCTAGGACTGTGCCCTGTGGTACACCATATTCAATAGATGCCTCTTCACTTATGTTATCCCCTACTCTTACCACTTGGTTTCTTGTACATAGATAACTTTTAAAAAGAGTTAGAACGTTTTCCCTGATCCCCACATTTTCTAGGGTTTGGATTAACAACGGATGACTTATCGTGTCAAAAGCCTTACTTAAATCTAGCTAGCACAAAAACATCCCATCTACGTTAATAAGCTGCAATTTTAGGCTCTTTAAGCTCGCATGCAATGTACTGTAAATGTAACCCTTATATCCCTGCAACTACCGAATGTCCGCAGCGGCAAGACTTTTATAGCACATCTCACAGAAGTTACAAAGTGAAGTTCGAAAAACATCACACTAGCACTTTTACGGTACTTACCCCGAAAGTTGCTCTGAAACGTTCTATTGATGTTATAATGTGAATTAGATCTACAGCATTATACAGTGTGTGCACGGATGGGCTTAACTATACTTGTGAAAATATTTATTTTAAATTAAAAAAGTAATTCTTCATAATTTCTTGCTTGTTAAATAAATTCGATTCACATTGAGAAATTATGAAAAACAACTTTTTCTTTAATTTAAAATAAATATTTTTACAAGTATAATTAAGTCCATCCGTGGACACACATTGTGTAATGTAATACAGAGAGGCTGAAATTGAGGCTATAGTAAAATCTCAATCGAGACATGAAAATTTCAAATAAAACAAAATATTTATATAAATTTATTATTAAAATGTTCTTGAAATCAAGTACCAATAGCACAAAAGTAGAGGTAGGTGTAGGTGTGTTCTTTTATTCAGTGCTGTATCCAGCGCTTGCAGCAAACCGTTCGTAAATTAAGTGATGGAAAGACGATTGTATGTGTCAATCATTCTTTTTTCCAGCGGTGAATTCACCAATGAGCCAAGGCATCCATCGGCTTTAAAAGCCGATGGATATGTGATAAACGAATGGTGAGGATAATCAATCATTTAAGTTAACCTAAAATATAAGAGTTCAAATATAAAATGACTGCAGAATAGATAAATTACATCAATCACTGATGGAACAATTATTGAATAAAAGAACACACCTTATATCACAAACACAAGTACACATGTGGGATAGAAGAAGCTACCTAGAAAGCACTGAATGATTGGACAAAATTAGCTAAATAGTATAATAAGGTACCAATATTGCAAAGGTTCACTAAAACCTTAAATGGTGAACGATGATAAAACTAGATTGGTGAAAAATAATAAACGAATACAACAATGACTAGGTACATATTATTATATTAGATTACTAGAGGATAGCTAAGTTCACTGATTTCTTACCTAAGACGCAGAGATATATCTTTTTTAAATCAAGCCTTTTAACTTTTTTTGCATAGATATTTATAAAGTGCTATAATGTAACCTAAATATGACAATTTATTAGAAGAGCATAAATTATATTTTTATATAAAAAGATTTTACTTCTCAATACATTGAATAAAAAAGAAATTGATAACTTGTTTACCTATAATTAAAGGAAATTATATAGAAATTAAAAAATATGCCTTACTTTGTTGTTTTAAATAAAACAACCAATGTTAGTGTATTGAAATTTGTTTGAATTTTACAAATTTTATGCTTGATTTCCAAAGTAGATATATCGATGGCTCAATCAAAAACCGCCACAAGTCAAAAAACAAAGCAATTACATTTTTGGTTCAATGGATGCAAAATATCATTACGGTTTTACTTTAAATACCACCACAAACAAAAATATCCTTAAAGATAAATCATTTAAAATGTAGCCACAAACTGTGTCTAAAACTGCATCAATTCGAGTTATTTTCTTCAAAAACACCCAAATTTTTTACAACTATGCAACAACTTACTTTTATAATCGTATTCATTTTATTTAACAGCAAAATATCGAAGCTTTTAAATAAAATATAAAGAGTATGTCAAAAACAAAATAATGATAATAGAGACTTACAAAATTTCAAAATGAAATTTCTCGAAATAATAGTATTTTAGTTGTGGCAGTATTTGATTGAGCCATCAATATGTAGATTTTATAAAAAACAACTGGTGTTTTTTAGCAAGATATTCTATTATACTCGAGAGTATCATCTATGATTTCTCTCAACTTTTCTGCTGGGTTTTCACTTGACTGATGGTTGCATTTCCAGGCAATCTAGCTTGTTGAAGAGAATTAACTGCTTGAATTCTGATATACCTGACATATCATGTACCTATAGATTCACTTTTTATAAAACTTCAGGAGTTATATTCTTCTTTACACTTCTGTAGTATTTACTTTTGCTTCTAAAATTCCTAGAATGTCGAAGGAAACCTAAAAAATAATATTTTTAAAATTTATTTTTAGTTCGATAAAGTATAATTACCTTTTATAAGTATTTGGTGTAAAATGTTGCCGGACATTCGGTTAAATGTTTATCTTCTGGTTTACAACGATTGATCTGCAATTTTTTGTTTTTATTGTAGTTTTTTTTTTATTTGGTGTCATCGGCATCGACTGCTAAAGATACTTAATGAATGAAATAATAAATTTACATCAGGCATTGTAATCTGAAACAAAGACAATGGTTTAGAAAATAGTTATCTATTTTATAGAGGACCCTTACCAAATCTATTCGAATGTATAAATAATTATTTATAAAATAAATTCTGGATGTCGAAAAATAAACCATTAAAAAAGACAATTGACAAGAAAAACTGACAAGTGACAATTGACATAAAACTAAACGTTCTGAATTCAGATTTGTAATGTTTACGGTAGGTTAACTAGGTAAATAACAAATAGAAGTTTTGCGAGGTTTTGATTTCCCTCAACAACTTCTCATGAACGTTGCATTTACGTTGTACAGTAATGTTATTACGTTCCCTTAATGCAACATCGCCGAAAGGCTTGGCAACGTTATGTGCTAGCTGGGATAAATAGGCATAAGAAAGGTTTCCCCATTTTCCAGCGATTTCTATATATTTTTTGTTAAATTTAAAATAGCGTCCACAGTTGAGGTCTTTTCTTTAAATCCATATTGTTTATTTGACAAACGATTGTATCTATTTATGAATGATGATAGCCTATTTTTTATAAGTTTTTCAAAAACTTTAGCCAGATCAATGATATTGGTCTATAATTACCAACAGATGTTTTATCTCCATTTTTATAAACAGGTACTACAATAGAGCTTTTGAATGCATCAGGCCATATTCCCTTTTCAAAACTTTTATTTATTATGTATGCTAATGAATCTGAAATATGATAGGATACTTTTTTTAAAAGCTCTGATTTAATTTCATCATTTCCTGGAGATTTATTATTTTTTAAAACATTAATGAGATTAAATATTTCCTTAGAATTTGTAGGTGTTAGTAGCATTGAGTTAGATAAAGTGTTTGATTTGCATTTATACTTAAATTTTACGTTAAATTTTTTCTGCAAATGTTTTCCCGAAGTTGACAAATTGTTTATTAAATTCGTTAGCTATCTGCATGTTAGTAGTTAATAAAACTCCAGTATCGTTAATAATTTTTTCAATATTAAATTTTTTAGTTTTCCTTTCGCAAAGTCCTTGTACCGTGTTCCATAAATTTTTTTCAAGTTGTTTTTATAATAATTTTGTTTATTTCTCTTTAATTCATTTGTAAGTTTATTTTTGAATGACGTATATTCGTCTTTTAATAAAATATTTTCAGGATGTAGAATCGTTTTTTTATACATTTTATTATTTTTATTAATTAACTTTAATAGGCTATTTGTGAGCCATGATGCAAAGCTAGTGTTTTTTCGTGTACATAGTTTTTAAGCTATTACATAGCTTTTATCGCGGACTTTGGGCGCGGCATCCGAATATAGTAATTCCGTAACGAAAATAAACCTAATACCCCCACTCCGACCGGCACAGCGGTGAGGTGTTGAAAGCCGTGCATCGTCTAACGTCGTTTTAGTTCGGCAGACTTCGGCACGGTGTTTGTGTGCGTGCGTCTAGACGTATATGTGTAGACTAGCTCCTAACTGCTCATAACTGATTCTATCTCTTTTAGACACAATTTCGGAAAAATTGAATTTGAAAATGAATAATGATCCACAAGAATCCACAACAATATATGGGACCACCATTGACGCGGTATTTTCCAGATATTTAGAGGATATCAAGTCTCAAACTTATGTTTCTTATTTCAGTTAGTTGATAAAAATGCTATGCAATAGCTTTACCGCGGCAGTGCCCTTTAGTGCCACACTTATTTTGTAGTGCAATGTTTTATCATTGTTTTAATTTCCGTAATAAAATTATTTGCTGCAATATTTGGGTCCTCTAGTGAGAAAATGGAGTCCCACGAATTGTTCTCAAATAATTCTATAAGTTTAGGGTAATCTATAAATTCTTTATATTTTGTAATAATTGATTTTTTTCTTTCATCCTCAAAAACGACTTTCAGAATAATTGAATCATGATCGGTAATGTTTGATTTAAATATTATTGGGATGGTCATATCAATCGACTCATATTTTTTTGGTTTAAGGAAAATGTGGTTTATACAAGTTTTTTGTCTAGTAGGTTTGTTTATCATTGATATGTATCCAAATTCATTTAGTATATTCAAGTACACCGTTTTATTGTAATTATTTTCTAAAATGTTTATATTTATATCTCCAAGAAAAATGCTGTATTCGTATTTTTTTGACTGATTTTCTTCAAAATATTCTTGTAAAATTTGTAAAAAATCATCAGCGTTAGATGATGGCGATCGATAGTATATTATTTTCGTTACCAATTTCTGCTTTTAGGAAGTTTATAGTTCCTTTAGTTATTATAGAATGTTTGAATGGAAAAATATTTTTAATATACATTATTGTCCCATCATTTTGATTGTGTTGCCCTTGATTGTATATTAAATTATATCCAGGCATATCGTAAAAGTTCGGGTCTGTTAAGTACCAGGTTTCAGTTAACACTAAACAATCAAAATCAAACTTACCTTTTTGCAATAGTATTTTAAATTCATCAAAATTTTTACGTAGACTCCGTATATTGCAGAGTTGGGTAGTATCCGGATACTTCTGTATCCGGATACAGTATTCGGATATATACAGTATTCGGATACAGTATTCGGATACTATATGTGTATCCGAAAGCTGTATCCGGATACTTTTTTCAAATTTTGTATCCAGTATCCGTATCCGTGATCAAATTTGTAAGTATCCGGATACCGGATACTTTTTTCAGCATTCGGATACTTTTAAATTATTTACCACAATCGTAACTGATCCAATCCATATTATCTCTATTAAAATATACAGTATGTCTACTTAAGTTAAAACCTAATGGAAAAAAAATTATTATTGATTTTAGGAAAAAAAGTTATTCTTGAAAGAAAGTCCTGCATGACCCAAAACTTAAAATACAGTCATCAGATATCAAATTTTTCAAGCCGTATACGAGGTTTGTCAAAAAATATGAATTTGGATCAAGAGTAAAGTACGTTTATTTTTGACCAAATCGAAAATTTTCATTAATATAATCGAATTACTTTGAGCTACTCTGTATAATTAGAAATAAAATACGTATTTTTCAATATTACAATATTTAAGACACAATTGCAATAGGTACCTACTTAAATAAAAAATAGTAAAATAATTATTTTATTATGATTTGTAGATCTGTTTGATGCACCTTGTAAAATTTAAAATAACGCAAAAAAGATTCTTATCGCCAAAGATGAATTCGGCGATTCACACAGTATACAGACGATTGAGATTCAGCATCTTGCGACACGTTTTTACAGAAAAAATCCTGCAAAACCTTGTCCGGTGTTAGCGTCACGAACTTGTGGAGGTTCCATTAGCCCAGGTTAGGTTTTAGTTGGCAAAGACAAGAGACGGTTGTTTCTGTGTTTTTATATAGTGTAATATAACTAAACTATGTAAAATGTGTAATTACATTATTAGTTCTTAAAATGTAGTCGAGATAATACATGTATGACGTTGTTACTCATAATGTTACTGATCATGTGTTATTTATGTCATCAACATCAATAAAGTATACAGATCTGACAAGATCAAATATACAAGTCTGTTTTGCCTATGCCAGAACGAAACATTCAGCAACTCCTCCTCCTTTCGACGCTCTCGACTCTACCAAGTATCCCTCGTCGGAGGATCCACAAAAAATGGATTGTCGAATACATCTGACACTGAAGAGAATATCGAAAGGTTGTATAAACATGGCATGTCGCGCCAGCAACGAGCTTATTTCCTTAGATTTATATGGACACGACACTGGCTGGTTTTTGGCGCGGTTCAGACGCGACTCGTTTTATTTACCCGCGCCTTTATGTTTTATTGTTCAGTTTGTTTTATTGTTTTATATTCACAGAATAAAAATAATAAACAATTTATTGAGTAGTTTTTTTCCTGTTTATATTATATCGCTTTCCATTTTCAATAATTTATTTATGCCTAGTATTGTTTATTGTTACTCGTAATCAATCTTATTGCATAATTATAACTATTGGTATGAAATTATTATTTTAACTCACTTTAAAAGTATCCGTAAAAGTATCCTTTAAAGCAGGGGTGCACAACATATGGTTCGCGGGCCAGATGCGGCCCGCCAGGGTTGTTTTGGCGGCCCGCCGGCCGTTGACCAGTTTGGCCCGCCTACGTCAAATTACAGTAACATACTTGCATTTAGGCTGACGACCTTTTTTTTAGAAAACTGGATCAGCAGGATGGGTTATACATAACCTTTTTACCAACAGGAATTGGTTTATAAATGAAAGGTGTTGACCTTTTTTTTTTAGAAATCTGAAAGACTATTGTAGGCCCAGACCTCTCTTGGCGGCCCTCGTACAGTTACGGTTTTTCAAATCTGGCCCTTTGTGCAGGCCTGCTTTAAAGTATCCGGATACTTGTATCCGAGTACATTTTAGGTGAAAGTATCCTAAAAAGTATCCGGATACATTGTAAGTATCCGTATCCGGTACTCGGATACTTTTTTCCTGTATCCGACCCAACTCTGCCATAGACTATAATTATTATTAATAATATTGTTGAAAACTAAAGGTTTTTCAGATCATACACAGTTCTTACAAAAACGTAAGTAGATACATCACACTACACTTGCAAAGATAAAAAATATCTAATTTTCTGTAACTTGCACTTTAAATTTAAAGTAAACTTTTACTATTTTGTAGGAGCGAATTCAAAACACGTGCACACTACTAGCCAGTTGATTGGTTTTTAATACATACTTGAAAGCCTTGAAGCCCTGAAAGAGCTTCAAATATATTTCCATCAGTATTTAGTCATTGTTGCATTATTTTTCATATAGGTACTGTGCTTGGTAATTGAAGCACTTTGCATAAGTGTTATACCCACCTCTGGATGAAAAGAAATCAGTTATGCTGGTTTATTATTTTTTATTATTATTATTAGGGAATATGATGTTCCATACCACGTAAGAGTATCTATAGATCTTAAAATATTTTGTGGGTCCTGGTATTCCGTCAAATGCAAAGGAAGAGATGAGGCTCCAACAATAACTTTGAGGAGTGATTTAATTGAAAGACCGGAGCCTATCGTGCTTGCTTTTGATATCGAAACAACGAAATTACCTTTAAAGTTTCCAGATTCAGCTTCGGATCAAATCATGATGATTTCTTATATGATTGATGGACAAGGTATACAAATTTATTTATCAAATTAATGGTCTTTATTTATTTTGCAGTTTCCCTTGTTTATGAGTAGATTTTTGTGAACTATATATTTGTTAATCTTTAAATTATTATGAATGAACGAAAAATAAATGATAAACTTTCAGGTTATTTGATCACGAACAGAGAAATCATTTCGGCCGACATCCAAGATTTCGAGTACACCCCCAAACCAGAATTCGAAGGAAAATTCACCATATTCAACGAAATCAATGAAATGTTCCTGCTGCAAAGGTTCTTCGATCACATCCTCGAGGTAAGGCCGCACATTTTCGTCACTTACAACGGCGATTTCTTCGATTGGCCCTTTGTGGAAGCGCGAGCTGCCTCCTATGACTTGGACATGAAGCAGGAGATCGGCTTCGCCAAAGACAGAGAGGGCGTGTATACCTGCAGGCCAGCCATGCACATGGATTGCCTGTGTTGGGTCAAGAGGGATTCGTATTTACCAGTCGGATCTCAAAATTTGAAAGCTGTAGCTAAAGCGAAGTTAAGGTGAGCAAAACTAGCCTTCAACTGAACAAATATTGGTTTTAAAACCCTTATAATTCATCAAAGGTCATTGTATAAAAGTAATATTAAAAAAAAAATTAAGAAATCGAGAATAAAGTTCAACTTCAAAAAAATTAAAACTACAAATCAAATCCATTTTACGAAAATGGACAATCTTGGAAAAATTAATCATTTCAGAAAAACAAGTCAAGGGTATTTTGAAAAATTAAGGTAACTTTTAGATAAATAAATGCTATTTTACAAGAATTAATACTACCTTAGAAAAATCAAGGTCGTTTTTAGAAAAATAAAGGTAATTTTATATAAAAAATAAGAATTTTAGAAAATTCAGTCTTTATAGAAAAATCAAGATCAATTTATAAAAATTGAAGGTAATTTTATAGAAATTAAGGTTATTTTAGGAAAATCAAGGTCATATTTAGAAAAGTATGCCCTTTTCTGAAAATTAATTAAAAAATCTCGATATTTTTAAAAAAATGTAATTTTAGAAAAGTCATGGTAATTTTTAGACTAATGTCATTTTACAAAACTTTGTATAAAAATCAAGATTTTAGAAAAGTCAAGCGTATTTTACGAAATTTAATACTCTTAGAAAAATTAGACAATTTAGAAAAAGTCTAGGTTATTTTGGAAACATCGAGGTCATTTTAGAAAAGTCAATATAATTTTAAAATAATCAATGTCACTTTACAAAAATCAAGGTCATTTATAGAAAAATAAAAACCATTTAACAAGACTTAATACTATAGGTTAGAAAAATAATTGTCATTAAAAAACGGGTAATTAAAAAAATACGTCATTTTAGAACAAATCGAGTTCATTTTAGAAAAGTCGGGATCAATGCTACAATAATGAAACAACTTTAGATAAATCAAGGTCGTTTTTAAATAAATAAAGGCCATTTTACATGAATTAATACTATCTCAGAAAAATCAAAGATCGTTTTTAGAAAAATCAAGGCCCATTTTATATAAAAAATAATTTTAGAAATACAAGGTCGTTTTAGAGAAATTAAGGTAATTTTAGAATAATCAAGACATTTTTGAGAAAAGTCTTCTTTTTTCTGTAAATTAATACCGCTTTAAAAAATCAATGTCATTTTGTAAAACAAAAACAAGATAATTTTAGAAAAATAAAGGCCATTTTACAAAAATTCATACTATCTTAGAAAAATTAATTCTATTTTATAAAAAATCTAAATAATTTTAGAAAAACTAAGGCCATTCTACAAAAATTCATTTTATCTTAGAAAAATTAAGGCTATTTTATAAAAAAATCAAAATAATTTTAGAAAAATTAAGACCATTTTACAAAAATTAATTTATAAAAAACAGTCATTTTTGAAAAAATCAGGGGTATTTTGAAAAATCGAGTTCATTTTAAAAAAGTTAGGATCAATTCTACATGAAGTAACTTTAGATAAATTAAGGTCATTTTTAAATACATAAAGTCCATTTTACATGAATTAATACTTTCGTATAAAAACCAAGGTCGTTTTTAGAAAAATATCAAGGTAAGATAATTTTAGAAAAATAAAGGCCATTTTACAAAAATTCATTTTATTATAAAAAATAATTTTAGAAATACAAGGTCATTTTAGAGAAATTAGGGTCATTTTAGAAAAATCAAGACAACTTTTAAAAAGTGCCTTAAAAATTAATAATTAATGTCATTTAAAAAAAACATCAAGGTCATTTAAGAGAAATCGAGGTCATTTTAGAAAAATTAATGAAATTTTTTGACAAATCAATGACATTTTACAAAAATTAAGGTTATTTTATAAAAACTCATGATAATTTAATAAAAGTCGAGACTATTTTACGAAAATTATTATTCCTGGAAAAATCAGTCAATTTAGTAACAAATCATGGCCGTTTTTAAAAAATCAAGGCCATTTAATAAAAAAAAAACGAATTTTAGAATAATCAAATGTCATTTTATAAAAAAATTTAAGTTAATTTTAGAAAATCAAGACCATTTTAGGAAAATCAATGATTTTTTAGAAAAATTTAACAAAAATTAATGCTATATTAGAAGAATCAAGGCTATTTTATAAAAAATGAAAATAATTAAATAAAAATAAGGCAATTTTACGAAGATTAATACTCTTAGAAAAAATCAAGGTCATTTAGGAAAAATCAAGACCATTTTTAGAAATTACTATATTACAAGAATTAATACCATCTTAGAAAAATAAAGATTTTTAAAAAATCAGGGTCATTTTACGAAAATTGGTACTATCGTTTTTTTTTTAACTCAAGGTAATTTTATTTAGAAAAGTCGACGTCATTTTAGAATAATGAATGCCAGTTTAGAAAAAGCAAGACAATTTTTAGAAAAGTGGATGTCATTTTAGAACAATTGAAAGTGATAGAAAAAAACATTTCATCTTAGAAAAGTCAAGGCCCTTTCTAGTAATTTTCAAAGTTTTTCTAAACGAGTTAATGAAAAATTTAAGGTCACCATCTTAGAAAAGTTCAATTTCAGCCTAGACAAGATTGAATAATATCTTAAAAAAGTTTTCATGAGAAAGTTTAAAGTTATCCGAGAAAATTTCAAAGTCATCTTTAACAAATTTGATCACAATCCTAGAAATTATCAAGTGCATCTTAAATCAGACCAATCGGAAAATATTTATATATAATTAAAAATGTAAAATTTGGATTTTTGATGTGCATGTTCGGAAAATCTTGCCCTTGAACTATGTAACAAATTCAGTGTTCTATCAACAGGTACGATCCGGTAGAGTTAGATCCAGAAGAGATGTGCCCTTTAGCGGCGTCTCAACCACAAGTGCTGTCAAACTATTCGGTATCGGACGCCGTGGCCACTTACTACTTATACATGCAGTACGTGCATCCATTTATTTTTGCTCTTTGTACTATTATTCCATGTGAACCGGATGAGGTTTTGAGAAAGGGTTCAGGTAAGATTATAATTAATAACACACCTTTGTCACATAAGTTTTGGGAAAAATTAAATTCTTTATGTTGAATTACATTTATCGTTACACTCCGCATTGCATCCAATATACATTTATTTCCAGAGACGTCTCTGTAATCTGCACTTTCTTGGCTGATAAGGTAGTTCTCTGACAAATAAATACGTTACAAGCGTCATGTACTCCTCATTGATTAACACGTTACCCTCAAGCACGATCGCCGTTTCGTTTGCGCCACTGCCATGGCAAGAAGGGACGCTCTGTCCGCCATTATGTAACAAACTTTTTCTCTCAATTAAAAATGCTTAAAGAAACTAATTTCCTAGAGAAATGCTGTAAATAACGTTTAGTTTTAAGTAAATCATGTATATTGATTATTTAAATCATTTAATGTTTTAAAATAAATTGTTCAATCAGAAGGCAATCTTTTCATCCAAGTTCTACATCTCTCAGGCCTGTGGATCGCACAGGTATTACAAACTTTCTTATTCCTACAGTTCATGAATAGTTAGGGATCAAATGTCGGTCCTATTTTGTATATGGCGCGGGGACACCTGTATATCAGTCAAACCGCGACACTTTATAATAATAAGTACATATAACTTTTTTAAACATGTTCCAGTAATTCTGGCATAATGGCAACTTGCCAAAACGTAATTTCATTAATAAAAATAAATATAAATAAATAAAATTACATAAAAATACATAAAAACAAAAATATATAAAAATATATAAAAATATATAAAAATATATAAAAATATATAAAAATATATAAAAATATATAAAAATATATAAAAATATATAAAAATAAATATATAAAAATATATAAAAATATATAAAAATATATAAAAATATATAAAAATATATAAAAATATATAAAAATATATAAAAATATATAAAAATATATAAAAATATATAAAAATATATAAAAATATATAAAAATATATAAAAATATATAAAAATATATAAAAATATATAAAAATATATAAAAATATATAAAAATATATAAAAATATATAAAAATATATAAAAATATATAAAAATATATAAAAATATATAAAAATATATAAAAATATATAAAAATATATAAAAATATATAAAAATATATAAAAATACATAAAAATACATAAAAATACATAAAAATACATAAAAATACATAAAAATACATAAAAATACATAAAAATACATAAAAATACATAAAAATACATAAAAATACATAAAAATACATAAAAATACATAAAAATACATAAAAATACATAAAAATACATAAAAATACATAAAAATACATAAAAATACATAAAAATACATAAAAATACATAAAAATACATAAAAATACATAAAAATACATAAAAATACATAAAAATACATAAAAATACATAAAAATACATAAAAATACATAAAAATACATAAAAATACATAAAAATACATAAAAATACATAAAAATACATAAAAATACATAAAAATACATAAAAATACATAAAAACAAATAAAATTAAAAAAAATATGTAAAATATAAAAAATAATTCATAATTATTGTGGATCAAATTTTTTTTATTGATAACTCTAGAGCTTGTCAATACTAAAAAATTAAAAAAAGAAAATTGATAAAAATTTACAGAAAAGAAAATGGTACTTAACAATTTTCTTTTTACCTATTTATTTATAGACTACTAGATTGAAAGTCATTTACTTCTAACCAGACAAAATATTTCCCAAAACTTATGTGACACGTTATGTTTTTGTATTAGTCAATTTTTACCATATTTATTAACGTAAATGATGAAGGAAAATAACGTATGTTTCACCCAATCCTACTAGGTACCCTTTGCGAAGCTCTTTTGATGGTGGAAGCCTTCCACGGCAACATAATTTTCCCTAACAAACAGGAATCCGAGCTGAACAAACTAACTCAAGACGGCCACGTATTGCAACAGGAAACGTACGTCGGCGGGCACGTTGAGGCTTTGGAATCGGGAGTTTTTAGAGCCGACATACCGTGTCGTTTCAGAATCATACCGGAAGCCGTGGATATGCTTTTGGAGAAGGTCTCCAAAACTCTGGAACACGCGATCGTCGTCGAAGAAGGAGTCCCATTGGAATACGTCACTAATTTGGATGAGGTTACCGAGGATATCAAAGTTAGATTGTTAGCTCTGAAGGTACGAGTATCTTTAATTATGTCCCAAATTGATTCTTACAATTCCGTCTTCTATTTTCGATAATACATTAATTAATCGGTATTCGTTTATTCAAAGAATTCTCCCATGAGGTTGGAAAGGCCGTTAATATATCATTTGGACGTCGGCGCTATGTACCCCAACATTATTTTAACGAACAGATTGCAGCCATGCGCAATGGTAGACGAAACGATTTGCGCTTCTTGTGATTTCAATAGACCAGGAGCGACTTGCCAACGAAACATGGCGTGGATGATGCGCGAAGAATTCAGTAAGTAAAAATCAAGCTTATTTTTTAAAAGTCAAACTCATTTTATGAAAATGATTACTAAGACAAGTATTAAAAGTAATTTTAAAAAACCGACTTCAAAATCGTGCAGATGCCATCACCACATCTTAAGCTTAAGCAAATTTATATGGGATAAATAAGCCCTGAGGTACTCCCTTACTTACAAAAAAGAATCATTGAAATCGGACACCGTGTTAAAGAATTATCGCTGAAGATACATAAAAAAATATACTGACGAATTGAGAACGTCCTCCTTTTTTGAAGTCTGTTAAAAAAGTCTAGTCATTTAAAAAAAGTCAATTCATTTTTAGAATTAATCAAGGTCATTTTAAAAAATAAAGGTTATTTTAGAAAAATAAAGGTAATTTTACAAAAATCAATGTAATTTTGTGAAAATCAAGGTCATTTTACAAAAATCAAAGTAATTTTGTGAAAATCAAGGCCAATTTATAAAATAATTTAAAAAAAATTAAACCTATTCTTAAAAAATAACACTCATTTTACGAAAAGTAATACTATCTTAGAAAAATTAAATCATTTTAAGGAAAAAATCAAGGTCATTTTGAAAGAAATCAAGGTCATTCTGAAAAATCGAGATCGTTTAGAATATCGAGATCATTTTAGAAAAATCAATTGCACTTTAGAAAAACAATCAAGGTAATTTTAGAAAAATTATAAGTTTCTTTTTTAAAAGAAATATTAAGTAGTTTTTGGAAAAATCAAGATCATTTAAAAAATTAAGGACATTTTATAAAAAAAATCAAGATAATTTTAGAAAAATTAAGTTTATTTTAGAAAAATTACGAAAATTAATACTCAAAAGTCAAGGTCATTTTAGAAAAAATCAAGGTCATATAAAAAATCAAAACCATTTTATAAAAATTGAGATAATAGAAAATTTAAGTTCATTTTAGAAAAATTAAGGTTATTTTTTTACTAATCAAACACATTTTTAGAAAAAAAAAGTCAATTAATTTTTAGAAAAAAATCAAGGAAATTTTAGAAAAATCAAGGTCATTTTAAAAAATCGAGATCATTTTAAAAAATCAATGTTACTTTAGAAAAACAATCAAGTAATTTTTAGAAAAATCAAGTCATTTTCAGAAAAATCAGGATCATTTTAGAAAAATCAAGGTCATTTTGAAAAATCGAGATCATTTTAGAAAAATAAAGGTTATTTTACTAAAATTAATGCTATATTAGAAAAATCAAGTAATTTTAAGAAAAATCAAGTAATTTTGTGAAAATCAAGGCCATTTTATAAAAAAATCGAGATAATTTTAAAAAAATTAAACCTATTTAAAAAAAAAAAAACAAAATCATTTTACCAAAAGTAATACTATCTTAGAATAATTAAATCATTTTAAGGAAAAAATCAAGGTCATTTTAGAAGAAATCATTCTGAAAAATCAAGATTATTTAGAATATTGAGATCATTTTAGAAAAATCAATGTTATTTTAGAAAAACAATCAAGTAATTTTTAGAAAAATCAAGTCATTTTCAGAAAAATCAGGATCATTTTAGAAAAATCAAGGTCATTTTGAAAAATCGAGATCATTTTAGAAAAATAAAGGTTATTTTACTAAAATTAATGCTATATTAGAAAAATCAAGTAATTTTAAGAAAAATCAAGTAATTTTGTGAAAATCAAGGCCATTTTATAAAAAAATGGAGATAATTTTAAAAAAATTAAACCTATTTAAAAAAAAAAACAAAATCATTTTACCAAAAGTAATACTATCTTAGAATAATTAAATCATTTTAAGGAAAAAATCAAGGTCATTTTAGAAGAAATCATTCTGAAAAATCAAGATTATTTAGAATATCGAGATCATTTTAGAAAAATCAATGTCTCTTTAGAAAAATCGATGTCATTTTAGAAAACCAATCAAGGTCACTTTATAAAAATTAAGCTTATATTTTTAAAAATCAAATTCATTTTAGGAAAATGATTAATAAGACAAGTATTGAAAGTAATTTTTCTAAAATTACAAGCTTCTTTTTTAAAAAATCGAATGCATTTTACAAATATTAATGCTAAGAAATGCCAAGTCATTTAAAAAAAAAATCAAGTAATTTTTAGAAAAATCAAGATCATTTAAAAAATCAAGGACACTTTATAAAAAAATCAAGATAATTTTAGAAAAATGAAGTTTATTTTAGAAAAATTATGAAAATTAATACTCAAAAGTCAAATCATTTAAAGAAGTCAAGGTCATTTAAAAAAATCAAGGTCATTTAAAAAATCAAGACCATTTTATAAAATTGAGATAATAGAAAATTTAAGGTAATTTTAAAAAATCGAGATCATTTTAGAATAATCAATGTTACTTTACAAAAACAATCAAGTAATTTTTAGAAAAAACAAGTAATTTTCAGAAAAAATCAGGATCATTTTAGAAAAATCAAGGTCATTTTGAAAAATCGAGATCATTTTAGAAAAATAAAGGTTATTCTATAAATATCAAGGTCATTTTACTAAAATTAATGCTATATTAGAAAAATCAAGTAATTTTTAGAAAAATCAAGTAATTTTTAGTAAAAATCAAGGTCATTTTGATAATTCGAGGTCATTTTAGGAAATCAAGATCATTTTAGAAAATCGAGATCATTTTAGAAAAATTGAGGTCATTTTATAAAATCTAGCTCATTTTACAAAAATCAAGGCCATTTTATAAAAAACGAGATAATTTTAGAAAAATTAAACTTATTTTTTAAATGCAAACTCATTTTACGACTATTTACTATGTTAAAAAATTAAGTAATTTTTAGAAAAAAATCAAGTCAGTTTTAGAAAAATGGTAATTTTTAAAAAAAGTCAAGATCATTTAAAGAAATAAATATTTCAGTGTTAATATTAATTTTTATTAGATTAAAGTGAGGAATACTAGCGAAGTTGCAGCTAAGGTGGGTAATTAGTTTTTTCTACATTAACTGTCAGCAATTTTGATTGTAACCACTTTAGAATAAGGGTAAAATCCTGCCCCACTTCATACCAGTCTTCATCATCGTAGTAGATGGTCGTGTCATCTGCAAATCCTATAATATTACCTTTGGTTTCTAATGAAAACAACTCGTTAATATAAATATTCAAGAGCGTCGGTCCTAGTACCTACCCCTGTGGTACACCAAATTCTATTTGTTTTGGCACAGTAAGCGCATCACTTATTCTTACAATCTGGAATCTGTTGCTGTAATTCCGATTTAGTGCAAGTATTGTAAAAGAAGTTGATGGCTTATGAAAATTAATACTACGTTAGAAAAATTGAGTAATTTTTAGAAAAAATCAAGTCATTTTTAGAAAAAAAATAAGGTTATTTTAAAAAAGTCAAGGTCGTTTAAAAAAAAACAAGGCCGTTTTATAAAAAATTAGATATAATCTTAGAAAATTGCAGATTTTAGAAAAATTAAGCTTATTTTAAAAAATCTAATGCATTTTATGAAACTTAATAGGTACTATCTTAGAAAAATTAAGTAATTTTTAGAAAAAGCCAAGGTCATTTAAAAAAAATCAAACCCATATTACGAAAATTAATACTTTTTTTTAGAAAAATCAAGTCATTTTTAGAAAATCAAGTAATTTTAGAAAAATTAAGGTCATTTTAGAAAAATCAAAGCCTTTTATAAAAAAAATCAAATCCAATTTAAAAAAAATCAAGATAATTTTAGACAGATATTAAATTAATTCTAGAAAAATTAAGCCTATTTTTTAAAAAATCAAACTCATTTTACAAAAATAATACTATCTTGGGAAATTAAAATAATTGTTAAAAAAAATCAAGTCATTTTTTAGAAAAAATCAAGTAATTTTTAGAAAAATCAATATCATTTTTAGTATAAGTCATGGTCATTTTGAAAAAATCAAGGCCACTGCGAAAAATCGAGGTCATTTTGAAAAATCGAAATTATTTAAAAAAATTAAGGTAATTTTAGATCAAGGTCATTTTAGAAACATCAAGGTCGCTTTAGAAAAATGAAAGTTGCTTTAGAAAAATCAAGTTTTATAATCACCCGTTTTATAGTGCCAGCATCGAAAAACGAATACCACAGAATCCAGCAACAACTAGAAACCGAAAAATTTCCTCCGCAATTTCCCGGCAACCCGCAACGAGCGTTCCACCAATTGTCCAAATTAGAACAAGCCGAGTTAGAAAAGCAACGGCTTACAGTTTATTGCAGGAAGGTCTACAAAAAGGTCAAAATTACCAGAGTGGAAGAAAGAACCACAACAATATGCCAACGAGAGAATCCATTTTATGTAGACACGGTGAGAGCATTTAGGGATAGAAGGTACGAAACAATTTATCGATTGTAGGCCGAATGAACTATTTTATATATTTCAGATACGAGTACAAAGGTTTGTCAAAAAAAGCGAAACAGGCTGTCGTGGACGCCATCAAAGGAGGTGATGCTTCTGATATTAAATCGGCTAAAAATAGGGAAGTTTTATACGACTCTTTACAGTTGGCCCACAAGTGTATTCTTAATTCTTTCTATGGTTATGTAATGAGAAAAGGGTGAGTAGAGCTATGTCATATTACTGGTCATAATACTTTATATACAGCAGGCAACAAAAAAGTGAGAATTATTTTAGGGTGAATTGAAAAAAAAAAGATAGTTTATTAATTTTTAAACACCATACCAACCATGGTTTGCTTTTTGCTACATTTTTTGAGGGAGTGCAAACAAAAGACAACCCTAGTTATTGTTTAAAATGACAGTTTCCTATTTAACAATAACTAGGGTTGCTTTATTTTCAAACCAAAGAGATCGCTCGAATAGACTTTAAATAAATGAGCTGTTATGATTTTTCGATATTTTCCATTGTTTTTCCAAAAACAGCATTATGTTTTATACATTCATTAAACAGCCTTTTCTTTAATATTTTCCATTGCTTTTTCAAAAACTACAACATTTGCATTGAGTTGCTTTACACTGTACATGGTTTTTCATTATATTTTGACCACTACGTATTTTCATAATTCTTGTGAACTCAAAAAAAGTTTCAAGTAAAAGCTTTGTTGTTTTACCTCAACTTTTTCGACCACAGTAAAACCCATTACAAGCAATCAATTGACAACTTCTAATAAACAAACAACTGTTTCACTTGGAAACATGATTTTCATAGCTATCTATGTGTTATGCTTTCCTAGTGCAATAAGTCACTATATAATTAAAATATTATATATTTGTTATCAGGAAATGCAAGTCTACTTAAAATGGCAAAAATATATAGGGTGTCCCATTAAAAAAATTAAATTATATTTTGTTGGAGTCGTCCTGTATATACAATTGAGCCTTTTATTACATTTTTAGTCGGTACAGATAGAACAACATAGCTGTTACTTGAAACTTTTTTTTGTATTTGCAATAATAATGAAAATAAATAGCGGTCAAATTATAATGAAAAACCCTGTACAGTTCTTCCAGATTATGAAAATCGATTTTTTTGATGTATAGATACGAAATATTTTTAATCGCAAGACCTACTTTTATATGAGGCACATAGAATAATAGTGGTCCATATCCATATAGGGCTGCTTTGAGATATTGAAGTGTTTTCAAAATTTATTACAAGAAACATTTTCTGTTTTGATAAACTATTATGGAATGAGTACCGCAATCTTTCGGTAAAAAAGTAAAACAAAGATAGACCAACTTTATACTGAAAGATACACATTTTAAATCGAGGGCAGCTATATAAAGAAGGGAAGTTAGACTAGGATTTCAGAATTTCTTATTATTCTGTCATCAAAAAGTTCTCTAAGATATTGCAGCAGAACAAGCCACTAAAAATTTAAAGTGAAAATTATTTTAAGTACCAGACAAATTTCAATTCTACATGTTTGAGAGAGTGCAAACAAAGGCAACCCTAGTTAGTGTTAAAGGTGGCAGCTTCCTCTTTAATAATAACTAGGGTTGCCTTATTTTTAAATCAAAGAGATTGTTTGAATATAACTTTAAGACAATGAGCCTTTGTGAAATGTTTCGATATTTTCCATTGATTTTTCAAAAACGCTATGTAACATTTGCAGTGAGTTGGTCCATACTTTACAGTTCTTCCAGATCATGAAAATCGAATTTATGATGTATTTTAGAAAAATCAATTTCTCTTTCGAAAAAACAATCAAGGTCATTTAAAAAAAATGAACAGCATTTTATAAATAAATCAAGATCATTAAATTCATTTCAGAAAAATTAAACTTATTTCTAAAAAAAATCAAACGCATTTTACGAACAATATTGCTATCTTAAAGAAATAAAGTCAGTTCTAAAAAAAATAAAGTAATTTTTAGAAAAAATCAAGGTCTATTTGAAAAAACAAGATCATTTTAGAAAATAAAGATTATTTTAGAAAAATCAAGGACATTTTATAAAAATCAAGGCCATTTTGTAAAAATCAAAACTATTTTATAAAAAAAAACAGACAATTTTTACTAAAATTAATAATATCTTAGCTAATTTAAAAAAAAAAATCTAACGCATTTTACGATTACTATATTAGAAAAATCAAGGTAATTTAAAAAATCAAGGTCATTTCAAAAATCAAGGTAATTTCAGAAAATTAAGATCATTTTAGAAAAATCAAGTCCATTTTAAAAAGCAAGGTGGTTTTAGAAAAATCGAGGCTATTTGCTAAAACAATCATGATAATTTTAGAAATATGAAGTTCATTTTATAAAAATCAAACGAATTTTACAAAAATTAATGCTATTTTAGAGTAATCAACTAATTTTTAGAAAAAAACAAGCTACCAAAAATGTATTTTTAAACCAAACAGATCGCTCGATTATGACTTTAATTAAATAAGCTGTTATGATTCGATATTTTTCATTGTTTTTCCAAAAACAGCATTATTTTTTTATATACTCATTAAACAGCATTTTCGTCAATATTTTTCTTAGCTTTTTCCGAAATTTCAGCATTTGCATTAAGTTGCTTCACACTTTACAGTTCTTCCAGATTATGAAAATCGAATTTTTGATGTATAGATACAATAATGCTATTTAGAAAAATAAAGTCTTCTAGAAAAAATAAAGTAGTTTTTAGAAAAAATCAAGGTCTATTTGAAAAAACAAGATCATTTTATAAAATAGAATTATTTAAAAAAAATCAAGGTCATTTTATAGAAATCAAGGCTATTTTTTAAAAAACGAGACAATTTTAGAAAAATTAATTTCATTTTTTAGAAAAATTAAACGCATTTTAGTAAAATTATTTTAGAAAAATTTAGCCTATTTTTTAAAAAAATTAACGCATTTTACGAACATTAATACTATCTTAGAAAAGTCAAGTAATTTTTAGAAAAATCGAGGCAATTTTAAAAATCGAGGTCATGTTTGCAAGTTAAGATCATTTTAGAAAACTCAAGTTCATTTTAGAAAAATCAAGGTCATTTTAGAAAATTCAAGTTCATTTTTAAAAAATCAAACGCATTTTACAAAAATTTATGCTATTTTAGAGTAATCAACTAATTTAAAAAAAAAATAAGCCACCAATAATTTAAAGAGTGGATTATATTAAGTACCAGACCAAACATGGTTTGGTTTGGTTTTACGTAGCCGTCAAAATAACAAATTTCAATTTAACATTTTTTGAGAAAGTGCAAAGGCAACCCTAGTTAGTGTTAAAGGTGACAGCTTCCTCTTCAAGAATAACTAGGGTTGCCTTATTTTACATTTCTAGAAAAAACAAAGTAATTTTTAGAAAAAATCAAAGACCTTTTGAAAAATCAAGATCATTTTTGAAAATAGAGATTATTTCAGAAATATCAAGGTCATTTTATAAAAATCAATACCATTTTATAAAAAAACGAGACAATTTTAGAAAAATGTATTTCATTTTAGAAAAATTAAACGCATTTTACTAAAATTAATACTATTTTAAAATAATCAACTAATTTTTAGAAAAAAATCAAGCCACCAAAAATTTAAAGTGGATTATTTTAAGTACCAGACAACAAATTTCACTTCTACATTTTTTGAGAGAGTGCAAACAAAGGCAACCCTAGTTATTGTTAAAGCTGACAGCTTCCTCTTTAACAGTAACTAGGGTTGCCTTTGTTTGTACCCAAAAAATGTAGCATCGAAGTCTATTGTTATTTTGACGTCACTGTAAAACCAGAGCATACCATGGGTGTCCTAGTGTTTAGCAATTAATAAGGTAGAATATAATTTTGGTTTGAAGATGTGACTAATTCGTTCATATTTTAGCGCTAGATGGTTCAGCATGGAAATGGCGGGAATCGTGTGTTTTACAGGCGCGAACATTATAATGAAAGCTCGCGAAATAATCGAACAAGTAGGCCGACCGTTAGAATTGGACACCGATGGAATTTGGTGCATTTTACCAGCATCTTTCCCGGAAAATTTTACCATCTTGACTACTAACGAAAAGAAGAAGAAATTCAATATATCTTATCCGAACGCCGTCTTAAACGCCATGCTTAAAGAACATTTCACTAACGATCAATACCACGAGTTGGTAAACCCTCAAAAGTTGGAGTACGAAACGCGGCAGGAAAATTCTATTTTCTTCGAAGTGGACGGTCCTTACAAAGCAATGGTTTTGCCGGCTAGTAAGGAGGAAGGCAAAAAATTGAAGAAGAGATACGCCGTGTTTAATTTCGATGGATCTTTGGCCGAATTGAAGGGGTAAGTACGATATAAACACGGTTTCTGGGAAAACTATGGAAAATAATATAGCTTTTATTGTAGTCTTAAAAATGAGTTTATAACCGTTTTTATAGATTCGAAGTGAAGAGAAGAGGTGAACTACAACTAATCAAGAACTTTCAATCTTCAGTGTTTGAGGCTTTCCTGAAAGGCGACACATTGGAAACCTGCTACGCCGCCGTTGCACAAATAGCCGATTACTGGCTGGACGTCCTCTATTCAAAAGGCCGAAATTTACCGGACTCGGAGCTGTTCGATCTCATTTCCGAGAATAAATCCATGTCGAAGAAATTAGAAGAGTACGGGGCGCAAAAGAGCACGTCCATCAGCACGGCGAAGCGTTTAGCCGAATTTCTGGGAGATCAAATGGTCAAAGACGCCGGACTCGCCTGCAAATACGTGATAGCCAGGAAACCAGATGGCGCTCCGGTCACCGAAAGGTATTAAATTACATTTTTTGTCAAAATATATTTTTTCTACGACCTAAGAAAATTATTACAGAGCGATACCACTTGCAATTTTTCAATCTGAAGAAACGATACAGAAACATTACCTGAGGAAATGGTTGAGAGACTCCTCCCTTAACGACATCGAGATTCGAGACATTTTAGATTGGAGTTACTATATAGAAAGGTTGGGAGGCACAATTCAAAAAATTATCACCATTCCAGCTGCCATGCAAGGGGTGAGTTACGAGTTTCGCTTCATACCGTGAGCACCAGTCTTACCCCCCCCCCTATCTAACTCGTTACACTGGAGTCTTGTTAGGAAAATCGCCGAGACACGTCGATTTTTGATTTCTACAGTGTACATTTTTGTATAAATAGTTTACCCTTAATTTCATCCCTTACTGGAGGGGAGCAACCCTTTCGAAAAATTTAAATGGCATGGGATGGTGAGTGATAGCTCATTTGAAAGAGGGTTTTATTCTTTATTCAACCATGTAAAAAAATTGAAATTTGCTTCATTAATTCTCGACTAATTGTTGTTTCAGAATAACGGAAATTAACGTAGCGCACTCATCCTTAGAATTAAAATTCGGCCCTGCATGATTTCGGTTTTAGTTCAGACTTTTTGCCATTAGAAGGTCACTATTAGTTTAGTTGCTTTCCTATTTTGTGAGGTTTTGTTATTTTTAAACAATAATAAATCAACACGTAATGAAGCAAATTTAAATTTTTTTTGCACGGTTGAATAGAGAATAAAACCCCCTTTCAAATGAGCTATCACTCACCACCCCATGCCATTTAAATTTTTCGAAAGGGTTGTTCCCCTCCAGTAAGGGATGAAATTAAGGGTAAACTAATCATACAAAAATGTACATTGTAAAAAACAAAAATCGACCTGTCTCGGCGATTTTCCTAACAAGACTCCAGTAACGAGTTAGTTAGGGGGGGTAAGACTTATGATGCTCACTGTATATTAAAACAAGTGTTACAGTATAATAAAACACTAATCCGAAAATATTTCACCTTTATTGAATTGAATTTACACAATATCACCGACTTCCAGGACGAATACCTTCTCCAGTCACCTCATTTCCTAAATATTCGAGAGTATTTTGCAAGAAAGAACATAAACTCTAGTCTAATTTTTATTTTGATTAATTTTTATTAATTTTTATTAATTTTTATTAATTTTTATTAATTTTTATTAATTTTTATTAATTTTTATTAATTTTTATTAATTTTTATTAATTTTTATTAATTTTTATTAATTTTTATTAATTTTTATTAATTTTTATTAATTTTTATTAATTTTTATTAATTTTTATTAATTTTTATTAATTTTTATTAATTTTTATTAATTTTTATTAATTTTTATTAATTTTTATTAATTTTTATTAATTTTTATTAATTTTTATTAATTTTTATTAATTTTTATTAATTTTTATTAATTTTTATTAATTTTTATTAATTTTTATTAATTTTTATTAATTTTTATTAATTTTTATTAATTTTTATTAATTTTTATTAATTTTTATTAATTTTTATTAATTTTTATTAATTTTTATTAATTTTTATTAATTTTTATTAATTTTTATTAATTTTTATTAATTTTTATTAATTTTTATTAATTTTTATTAATTTTTATTAATTTTTATTAATTTTTATTAATTTTTATTAATTAATTTTCATTAATTTTTATTAATTTTCATTAATTTTCATTAATTTTCATTAATTTTCATTAATTTTCATTAATTTTCATTAATTTTCATTAATTTTCATTAATTTTCATTAATTTTCATTAATTTTCATTAATTTTCATTAATTTTCATTAATTTTCATTAATTTTCATTAATTTTCATTAATTTTCATTAATTTTCATTAATTTTCATTAATTTTCATTAATTTTCATTAATTTTCATTAATTTTCATTAATTTTCATTAATTTTCATTAATTTTCATTAATTTTCATTAATTTTCATTAATTTTCATTAATTTTCATTAATTTTCATTAATTTTCATTAATTTTCATTAATTTTCATTAATTTTCAATAATTTTCATTAATTTTCATTAATTTTCATTAATTTTCATTAATTTTCATTAATTTTAATTAATTTTCATTAGTCTCATTAACTTTTAATAATTTCCAATAATTTTTATTAGTTATTAATTTTTTTGGTTTTAATTGATTTTTTATTAATTTTCTAATAATTTTTTAGTTACAGAGTTAAAAAGTTACATAGTTAAAAAGTTAAAAATATATAAAATAAGTTAAAAATAATTAAAAATAGTTAAAAATAGTTAAAAATAGTTAAAAATAGTTAAAAATAGTTAAAAATAGTTAAAAAATAGTTAAAAATAGTTAAAAATAGTTAAAAATAGTTAAAAATATTTAAAAATAGGTAAAACTAGTTAAAAATATTTAAAAATAGGTAAAAATAGGTAAAAATAGGTAAAAATAGGTAAAAATAGTTGAAAATAGTTAAAAACAGTTACAAATGGTTTAAAATGGTTTGCAATAGTTTAAAATAGTTTAGTTTAAAATAGTTTAATTTATAGTTTAGTTTAAAATAGTTTAATTTAAAATAGTTTAAAATAATTATGTAACTCTTTCCCAGGGTTTGTTACCTCCTAATAATTTCGAAGCAGATGGTAATTCACTCTTTACATTAATAACCCGAAATAGAATGAAGAGGAACTTTTACGCGTCGTACTTTTTTTCAAGGAGCTCGAAACACGACTGACTATTGTTATAATTTAATCATTACGCGAGATCAAGGTACGCCTCTTTCTATACAGAGAGCTCTGTGTTTAGCAATGTTTATAATTTTTGGAACCAGTGATATTACCCGGCACCACTGCTGTCTATGGTTGAGGTAGCAGTCCCGATAATGTTTCTATGACGGCTTCCTTTGTTTTTCCTTCATCGGCATTAAGCTGTATTTTTGGTCAACGTTCAATATACCGTCGAGTTGACAGTTTTGTCGTACGTGACTGTTGCGTATTTTTATTTGGTATCTTCATCAGCAAAAATGATACGTTGTATTAGTTTACCTATCCAGTGAGCTACTTGGAGTGATTCTTTTTGCTGGCATAAAATTGTTTTGAAATATGTTTGTTAATATAAACTTTAAGCTTCACCGATTATATCATTTTCCTTAAAATTACGTTTTGATTTCATTAAAAATTCGGAATATTACAATATTTACATTGTTTAATTAAACGATGAACTACTAGACTAATTTTGTTTATAAAAATCGGTGTTATCCACTTAGTTGTCAAAGTATTATTAGAGAGTCTTGTTACAAGGATTGTTTGTGATTATAATTCGGTATTGACAACATAAGGCTCTAAATTACATAATTAGGCTTTTAAAATGATTAAGGAAGTATATTTGCATTCTTAATGCCAGTTATTATTAGTTAAATGTATTTTTTCGTTGTAACTATCATAGTTGAAGATGATTTCCAGGAAGCAAGCGTCGCAGACTTAAGTACTGATTCATTCATAAAACGCATGCTCGTTCATCAGATAAACAAACTCGCACAAACCATCCCTACTCAAATTAGCAGTTGTTTCGTTCTTTCTAATCTAACAGATCTGTCTGCGTAATATAAAACACAATTTGAATGATTTCAATAAATAAACGATTAATTATGAACGAATAGATTAGTTCAGTAGTTATTCGTTGTTGCTTTAATTAAATTAACCCCTAAATATACTTATTACGTACCATTAGACACTTTCGATGTCTTAAAAAACTTTACCGCACGTTGGGCGCCAATTAAAGTAACTTAACAATTCAGGTACCGAATCCAGTTCCCAGAGTGCGACATCCGGATTGGTTACACAAAAAGATTCTGGAGAAAAACGACATTTTCAAACAGCGCCGTATCAGCGACATGTTTTCCATGTTGCCCAAATCTTCTAAACCGAACGCTTTCGAACGAGAACCGGTAGACATTGAAGATACGGCTTCCACAACTAAAAAATCTCCTTTTAAAGCGACAGTTGCGACTGTCACAAAACGAAAAAGAGGTTCGGATACGGAAAATCAATTCAACGAAGAAGAATTGAACAAGACTTGGAGGGAGGTGCTCGGGAATCCACCTCCTATAGGTACTACAAGGGTAAGTTGCCTGATAGATATACAAATAGGGAATTGAATATCTAAACTTCTGTCGATACTTTTAGGATGAATTAACATCTTGGTTAGCGTTTCAAAAGAGAAAATGGCTATTCCAATCGTCACAAAAGAGCTCTGGGCAACCAAGGAAGAAAAAAGCTACTTCCAATTTGACGGTTCTTAGATCAGCTGCTCCGGGTACGTTAGGAGATTTTATACAAAGAACGCAAAGGGTTCTGGTCACCACTCCATGGCAAGTGGTGCAAATTGCACCGACAGCTGTTGCAGGTGAATTCAGGCTTTGGGCTTTAGTAAGTTTGACTTTTGTTAAATATTTCAATATTTTTCCAAAAATAGCTCTTTTAGGTTCAAAATGAACTGCACCTGGTCAAGTTAGTCGTACCGAGGATTTTTTACGCGAACCTGCGTACGCCGAAAGTTGCTGAAGAGGGAGCTCTGTTTAAAAAATGCAACAGAATTTTGCCAAGAGGCAAGCAGGTTCATAATTTGTATTTGTACTCTGTACCCGAGGAGGTTTACCAAGAACATGGAAAGTAAGATTTTATTTGTTCTGGATTATTTTGGAAAATTTATGTATTTCATTTTTTTTAGCAAAATTTTCTTGGATCAGTCTGATCCTAACGTCGAAGGAGTGTATGAGATGCAAGTAACTCCGTTGTTTAGAGCCCTGTCTCAAATTGGATGCGTTTGTAAGGTAAAATATCAATTACTAATGAATTCGATATTTGGAAAAACAATGCAAAACATAAGGTAACTTTTAACAACAGGTTTCTAGCAGGACTACGAATTTGGAGAGTTTTAACATGGACCAATTAGACAAAGTAAGTATCTCTCGGCAACCGTATCTACAAAAAGAGTCCATAAGGCATATTTATCTGTACCATCACAAACACGCGTTCAAACCACAACATATGTTCGGTTTGTTCTTGACACCAATCAAAAAGGCTGTGATAATCGTCTTGGACACTGTACGAACCAATTTGATGCCAAATATGGTGAATTTGTATCAAGCAGAGAGACTGGTCAAGTAAGTATTTATCGAAAAATTAATTAAATGAAATTAGAATGTTTGTTTTGTATCAGGATGGAAAAAAACGCTGATGACGATTCACTTCCGTCTGACGAAATTAATTTTGAAGTTAAAATCGAAACTAGTATCGCTCAAGTGTACAAATCCTTGCAAAAGTTCTTACAAGCTTACAAGGACGAAAAGAAAGGACCTACTTTGGTTGCTGTACAGTCTACGTTGGATGTAGGGGAATTACAGAGCAACATATCTGGTTTAGTTGACTTTCCGCAAGTTCAGATACACGTTCAGGTACATTATTTTGTTTCCTTTTTCCTAGATTTTGTCTTAAAATAAGTAACATAATAATGCGATATTTGGAAAAACTATGGAAAACATAAGGTTACAACACTGAAATCCATTAGTATTGTTTTCTTATTCGCTGTAGATTCTCCATATTTATTTTTTAGGACATTGATGAGTTGTACAACGTGATCGACTGGCAAAAAATCGGCGCTAGAGCGATAGTCCGACATTATTTGAACAGTGAAAGGGTGTTAGAGTTGATGACCGAACAGTGCAGGTACTTCCATTTACCGTTGGGAAATATGCCTGCTGATCCAGCTATATTCGGTTCCGATCTGTTTTTCGCTAGGCATTTGATTAACCACAATCACGTGCTGTGGTTCTCTACCACTGACAAACCGGATTTGGGCGGCAGTCAAGAAACCGACGCAAGGTAGATTAATTTTATATCAAACGTTCATTTTATGAAAATCATTGCCTTTTAGATTAGTCAAGGTCGTTTTAGAAAACTCAGTTATTTTAGACTACCTTAAAAATAAAAATTATTAATGTTATGTTATTAATTTTATAAATATCTAAGGTCATTTTATGAAAATTAAGGTCGTTTAAAAAATCAAGGTCATTTAACAGAAAAAAACAATTTTTAGAAAAATTGTAAGTAATCTTTATTAACAAACAATTAAAGTAGAGCAATTTATAAAAATCAAGAGGTTTTTGGAAAAATCAAGGTAATTTTTAAAAATTCATGTCATCTTCGAAAATTGAATATCATCCAAAATTAACATATTTTTTAGAAAAAGCAAGATTATCTTAGAATAAAGGCGTTTTTCAGAAAAAATTAAAGAAATAACACATTTTTGATTTCAGGAAAAATTAAAGTGTTTTGGATAGAAAATCAAGGTCATTTTAGAAAAATCATAGTCATTTTGTAAAAACCAAGAGTGCCTCAAATTTTTTTAATGAAAAGTTAACATAGGGTATAGAATACTCAAGGTTATTTTATAAGAATCAAGGCCGTTTCGGAAAAATTAAAGTAGTTTTACAGAAAAAACGAGGCTTTGAAAAAAAGTCATTTTAGAAAAATCGAGGTCATTTTAAAAAAATTGAATGTCATTTTTTTAGGAAAAATTAACGTTGGTTATTTTATGAAAAATTAAGGAGATTTAAGAAAATTGTCAGTTATTTTGTGAAAATCAAAACCACCAAGGTCGTTTTAGAAAAATCAGTAATCTTAATGTCACGATAAAAAATATATTTTTTTTAATAAAAATCCATTTAAAAATAATCAAGGTCATTTTAGAAAAATCGAGATCATTTAAAAAATTCTAGGATTTTAAAAGAAAGGCGATTTTTAGAAACATTAAGTCAAGGTACATTTTTTTAGGGAGAAATGAAGTAGATTAATTTAGATAGAAACGTCATTTTAGAAATATTAAGGTTATTTTTAAAAATTCGGTAAATTTGGAAAAATTTAGTCATGATAAAAACATTTTTTTCAGAAAAACAAGACTAAAAAAAGCAATTTTTGGAAAAAAAATAAGTAGGTCGTTTTAGAAAAATCAAGGTCATTTTAGAAAAATTAAGGTTATTTTTAAAAATTCAGAAAATCCTAAAAAAATTAAATCATAAAAACTTTTTTTTTTTAGAAAAACAATATTAAAAAAAATAGAAATAGGTCTTTTAGAAAAATCAAGGTCATTTTGAATAATTAAGTCTAATTTAAAAAAATCAGTTATTTTGTAAAAGACTGCCTAGGAACAATTATTAACGTACGCCATTTTATAAAAATCTACGGTCATTTCATGACAGTCAAGGTTTTCTTAGAAAAATCAGTGTCATTTTAAAAATATCACGGCTGTTTTAGAAAAAAAAAACTATTTTTAGAAAAATTAAAAATAATCTTTTTTAAGAAATAGGTTAATTTAGATATATTTTATCAAAATCATTTTAGAAAAATCAGTAATCTTAAAATTAAATGTCACGATAAAAAATTCATTTTTTTAATAAAAATCCAGGCCATTTTAAAAAAATCGAGGTCATTTCAAAAATTCAGGGATTTTAGAAGAAAGACGATTTTTAGAAACATTGAAAATCAAGGTACATTTTTTATGGAAAATTGAAGTAGATTAATTTAGATAGAAACGTCATTATAGAAAAATTAAGGTTATTTTTAAAAATTGAGTAAATCTTGGAAAAATTGAATCATGATAAAAACATATTATTTTTTTTAGTTTAGAAAAACAAGATTATAAAAGGAAATTTTTAGAAAAAAGAATAAATAGGTCGTTTTAGAAAAATCAAGGTCATTTTAGAAAAATCAAGGTAATTTTTAATTATCCAGTCAGCTTAGTAAAATTAAGATTGTTTTTTAAAAAAATCGAGGTCATTTCAAAAAATTCAAGGTTTTTAGAAAAATTGAAAGCCAAGTACATTTTTTTAAGGAAAATTGAAGTGGGTTAATTTTAATTTAAATCATTTTAGAAAAATTAAGGTTAAAAATAATCCTAGAAAAATTGAATCGTGATAAAAACATTTTTTTTGAAAAACAGTAAAAAAAGCAATTTTTAGAAATAAATAAGTAGATCTTTTAGAAAAATCAAGGTCATTTTGAATAATTAAGTCCATTTTAGAAAAATCAGTTATTTTATAAAAGACTATACCTAGGAACAATTATTAACGTAAGTCATTTTATAAAATTCAAGCTAATTTTTTAAAATTCAGGTCATCTTAAATAGAAAATAAAGGCCATTTTAGAAAAATTATAGTCATTTTATAAAAACCAAGAGTTCCTTAATTTTTAGAAACAATTAACGTAGGGTATAGAAAAATCATGGTCATTTTATAAAAATCAAGGCCATTTTGTAAAAATTAAAGCAGTTTTACAAAAAAACACGGTTATGAAAAAAAAAATAATTTTAGAAAAAAACGAGGTAATTTTAGAAAAATTTAATGTAGTTTTTTTAGAAAAAATTGTCAGTTATTTTGTGAAAATCAAAACCACCTAAAAAATCATTTAGGAAAAATTTACTTAAATTTACGGTCATTTGATGAAAATCAAGGTCGTTTTAGAAAAATCAGGGTAATTTTAAAAATATCAAGACCGTTTTAAAAATAAAGAAACGATTTTTAGATAAATTGTAACTAATCTTTTTTGAGAAAAAAATTAAAGTAGGTTAATTTAGATATATTTTATCAAGGTCATTTTAGAAAAATCAGTAATCTTAAAAAATTGAAGTCACGATAAAAATTATTTTTTATATAAAAAGTCAAGGTAATTTTAGAAAAAATCAAGGTCATTTTAGAAAAATCAAGGTCATTTTAGAAAAGTCAAGGTCATTTTATAAAAAAATAAGGTTATTTTAGAAAATCAAGATCAATTTAGAAAACTCGAGGTTATTTCAAAAATTCAAGTATTTTAAAAGAAAGGCGATTTTTAGAAACATTGAAAGTCAAGGTACAGTTTTTTGGGGATAAATGAAGTAGATTAATTTAGATAGAAACGTCATTTTAGAAATATTAGTTATTTTTAAAAATTCAGTAAATCTTGGAAAAATTGAATCATGATAAAAACATTTTTTTTTAGAAAAACAAGACTAAAAAAAGCAATTTTTAGAAAAAAAATAAGTAGGTCGCTTTAGAAAAATCAAGGTCGTTTTAGAAAAATCAGTAATCCAAAAAAAATTTAATGGCACAATAATTTTTTTTTTATTAAAAATAAATGTTATTTTAGAAGATTCAGTAATCTTAAAAAATGAATGTCACGATAAAAATTCTTTTTTATATAAAAAGTCAAGGTCATTTTAGAATAAATCAAGGTCATTTTAGAAAAATCAAGGTCATTTTAGAAAAGTCAAGGTCATTTTAGAAAAATAAGGGTATTTTTATAAAAATCAAGGTCATTTTAGAAAAATCAAGGTCATTTTAGAAAAATCAAGGTCCTTTTAATATGTTTAAATTAATAAAACATTGCAGGCTGTTGGCGGAAAACCAAGAGGGTTCCTCGGAAGTGTGCAACGTCCCGGGTTGGTACTCATCCGTTTGCGTTGAACTCGATGTCGACAGCTTAGCCATAAACACTCTCCTCCAATCCCACCACGTCACCGACATCGAAGGCACGAGCGCTGTCACGGCGTTCGACGCCTCAGACATAACCTCGATCGACAACATGATATCAGGCCACCAAACCACGACCAACTATGACGAGACGAGCAGGTGCGCGGAAGCTTTCAAAATTTTAAGAACCATGACGGTTGCGTGGATGAGGGATATATCGGTGTACAGGAACGTTTTCGCTGATTTCCAGGTCATACATTTCTACAGGTACGGATAATGATGTTTATTAAGTTACATTCATCTAGGTCATCTCGAGTTACTAGATAAGGAGGTGTCTGTGTAATATTAGAAAAGAAAAACAAAAAACAAAACAAAAAAATAAAAACAAACAAAAACAAACAAAAACAAACGAAAACAAACGAAAACAAACGAAAACAAACGAAAACAAACGAAAACAAACGAAAACAAACGAAAACAAACGAAAACAAACGAAAACAAACGAAAACAAACGAAAACAAACGAAAACAAACGAAAACAAACGAAAACAAACGAAAACAAACGAAAACAAACGAAAACAAACGAAAAACAAACGAAAACAAACGAAAACAAACGAAAACAAACGAGAACAAACGAAAACAAACGAAAACAATCGAAAACAAACGAAAACAAACGAAAACAAAAACGAACCAAAACGAACCAAAACAAAAAATGTAGAAAAAAAAAAAAGAAAAAACAAACAAATGTAATACTTAAAAAAACAAGGTTTTTAATTACTGAATAATATTCAGCATTTTACACAACAAAATTAAGGCCATTTTAGAAAAATCGGTCATTTTGTAAAAATCTACTAATTTTTTTTTGTGAAGATCAAAGTATTTTACAAAAATCAACGTTTAAAAAAAAATAACAGTAATTTAAAAAAAATCAAGGTCATTTTATAAAAATTGAATGTCAAGATTTTTTTAGGAAAAATTATAGTAGTTTATTTTGGAATTAGGTTATTTTAGGCCTTGTTATTTTAGAAAATCAAGGTCATTTCTAAAAAGACAGGTCGTCTTAAAATGTAATTTAGGAAAAATTAACACACTCAAAAAAATCAAGTCAGTTTATAAGAATCGGTGCCATTTTAGAAAGATCAAGGCAGTTTTACCAAAATCAAGGTTTTTAAAAAATAATTATAAAAATCAAGGTCATCTGAAAAAAATTGAAAGTCTAATTTTTTTAGGAAAAATTAAAGTAGCTTATTTTGGAATTAGGCCATTTTAGAAAATTAAGGTAATTTTTAAAAATCCAGGTCATCTTAGGAGATGGAATGTCGGATAATAAAAATTAACATTATATTTTTTTTACAAAATGACTGATTTAAAAAAAAAAACGTATATAAAAACATGTATTTTATGAAAACTTAGCATAATTAAATAATCAAGGTCATTTTATAAGAATCAATGTCGTTTTAGAAAGATCAAGGTTTTAAAAAATAAGTCATTTTAGGAAAATCAAGGTCATAAAACAAAATTAACACCATTTCCGAAAAAAATATGTTTGACAGAAAGAAAATTAAGTATGTTATTTTAGATAGAAAATCAAAGTAATTTTTGTAAAAATCAATACTTATTTTTTTAAAGAAAAGTTAACGTACTACTTTTTTAAAAATTAAGGCCATTTTAGAATAATCAAATTTAAAAGTCATTTTAGAAAAATTTAATGTCATATTTGTTTTTAGAAAAATTGACATTGGTTATTTTATAAAAATCGACATTATTTTAGAAAAGGTAATTTTTAATTATCCATTTAAAAATAAAAGGTAAATAAAAAATTAACAGGTTTTTTTTAGAAAAATCAAGGTCATTTTAGAAAAAGGTGTGTTGTAGAAAAATAAAGTCATAACGTTTGTTCAGGTTTAAATTAAAGTAGGTTATTTGAGATAATTTTTTTTTTATAAAAATGAAGGTCATCTTAGAAAAAATGAATGTCATGAACATTGTTATGGTCTTTATTCATCATAGTTACACATTTACAATAACAAAAAAAAAAACGATGAAAAGACGAAGTTCAGCACAAGACTGTTTTCAACTTAACCTGTATAAAAATCTGATGTGTCCAACACATGACTTTCCTATCTAGTTATTATAGGCATTTTCCGGTTATTTTGTACAACCTATTGCAGCATCTCTATAAATGTTTAGAGGATAAACTAAATATATACATTTTACACATACATCTACCTCGAAACATTTTTCTATAGATATTCATTGAAAACGAAAATACAGAAAAATTTAAATTAAGCACTTTTCCATTACGGTCCATTTTAGAAAAATCATGTATAAACAAAAATTATAGAAATCGATATCGCAAACAACTTTTAGTTCAACAATTTTCATAAAAATCAGAATTTTGCACATTTTGTCAAATTTCTCGAATACGGACCATTTCAGGAAATTTTGACATAAAGCAAAAATTATAGATAATAATATTAGAAGTAACTTTTATTTAAACAATTTTCTTCTCCAAACATAAATAACAGATATATTCCATAAAATATAAAAACGGCCTCCCATAAAGTACCCCCCCAGATGTTCCGACTTTGTCCAAAATCTAATCATTTCACGTCAGGCCGAAATAAACCTTAAGTTTAAAATTTAATGTTTTTTCCTTTATCCGTTTTTGAGTTTTCTACAAATTTCGAAATTTACACATTTTCTCAAATATCTCGAATACGGTCCATTTTAGAGAAATTATGTATAGGACAAAAATTATAGAGAATTATATTATAAACAACTTTTATTTGAACAATTTTTATAAAAAATTATGTTTTTTACATTTTGTCAAATTTCTCGAATACGGACCATTTTAGGAAAATTTTGCATAAAACAAAAATTATAGATAATTATATTAGAAGTAACTTTTATTTGAAGAATTTTCTTCTCCAAACGTAAATAACAGATATATTTCATAAAATATAAAAATGACCACCTATAAAGTACCCCCCCAGATGTTCCGACACTGCCCAAAATCTAATCAGCTCATTGGACGCTGAAACAAAGCTTAAGTTTAAAATTTGGTGTTTTTCTGTGTATCGGTTCATGAGTTATGCGTTATACAGACACACACACAGACACACACACACACACACAGACATCATCGCGAAAATAGTCAAAACGGATTCAGGGGACCTCAAAACGTAAAAATCCGTCGAAAACTCGAGGTCGAAAAAAATCATGATTCCTATACTTTCCTTATATCTGTATACAGATAGGAAAGTAAAAATCAATTATTTGGAAAAATTTAATGTTATGTTTGGTGATTTTAGAAAAATTAACACCAATGAAATTTTTTTTTTGGAAAATATACTGCTCATTATCACAAATTTCGTAAAATTGCTTCCAGATGGATGAGATCTCCCAAGGCATACCTGTATGATCCAGCTCTTCTACGCAATTTACAAAATTTGATGAAGAAACTATTCCTCCAGCTCGTGGCCGAATTCAAACGTTTAGGTTGCATGATAATATACGCGAATTTCAATAAAATCATCATCTGCTCGAAGAAAACCACCGTAGAAGACGCTCTTGCCAACGTAGATTTTGTGGTGACCTCTATCAGGAACAAGGAGTTGTTTCATTCATTGGAAATTACTTATCGGTGAGTACATTTTTTTGTTCAGTTGATTTTATTGATGATAAATGTATTTGTATATATTTGTATATATTTTTGTATTTAGACAATGTTGGGAACAATTGGTTTGGCTTGACACCGCAAACTTTGGTGGCATAAAAGGAAAATTGCCCGATGAAACCCAAAACGATTCAAATGACGACAATGAAGACGAAGATGAAGATGAGGTAAAAATTGTCGTGACAATTCACTCTTTCTGAGTAAAAAATTATGTTTTTTTTTTCAGCCGATTGTCGCTATGAAGTGGAATATCGCCGAGCTGCTACCAGAGGGCGCTAATTGCCGCAGCAATTTTAACGCCGTCATCGCGGGCTACATCAATGCTATTCACACGAAGTTAAAACAAAAAGATCGTACTACCATTTCGGCAGCTGTTCTCAGCCAACCTTCGTTTGGATTGGCTCAGCACGAAACTGTCGTAAATTACGCCAAGGAGCTATTGACAGGCGAGATCAGTCAGACACTCTTTCAGTAAGTATTGATTTTTTTTTATTTCCACGAAACAATCTGTATCCGTATAATCAGAAAAGTTTAATAATTTGAATGTCGTTACAATTTTTTTTAATATTTTCCCCTATATTTACAAGAACATTTTTTTTTCAATTGTCATTGTTTTTCAAAAAAAAAAAACATTTTCCATTGATTTTCCAAAAACAGTATTTTTTTTAAATATAGCCTAGGCTCTATAGATTGACGAGATCAGTCAGAAGCTTTTTCAGTTAGTTAATTGGTCGTTTTTATTCTTACACACGAGACAATTTAATTTTGTTCCCGTTCGCGTGAGTTTTCAAGGAAATAGAAATGTCATTAATATCACAAATTGTAATGTAAGCATCATAGAGCGGGAGTCCCTGTCAAAGCTACTAAGTCTAAAAAAAATACCAAGCTAGACGACATACTAGCATATCATAAACGGCATATATTATGTAATAAAATTAAGGATAATAAAGATTGATTCATTTAATACGGGTATAAGAAAATATAGAAAAATTATTCAAGTTCATCTAAACGATTTAACAGTCTGAATTAAGAGACTGCAGAATTCTTCGTTGAATATTTTGATTTGTCAATCCATTTCCGTAAATCATTTAGCTATAAAAAATCAGCAAAAGCCTCATTTGTACCGGTAATTTTTTAAAAACACGAATTCTATGGATCTGACAATAAGAAAATGACAACTGTTAATTTTTAATAACATCATTGATTGATAAAGTTCTTGAAAATATTTTCAAACCAAAGAGACTCCTCGAAGATTACTTTAATTACTAGTTTTTTTATATATTTTTCATTGTATTTCCCAAAACCGTATTATTTTTTCCTTATATTTTCCATTCTTTTTCCCAAACTGCACTTATTTAAAAAATATTTCATAAACAGCATTTTTTAATACTCGTATTTTTTTTTATTAAAATGGCATGTTTATTTTTTCAAATAATTTCCGTTGTACTTAAAATATTTTTTATTGTTATTCCAAAAGAGAATTTTTTAAAATATTTTTTGATTAACACGAATTCTCGAATCTGACAATAAGAATATGACAACTGTTAATTTTTATGACAACTGTTAATTTTTAATGACAATACTCTTTGAAAAAGTTGTCGGAAATATGTTTAAACCAAAGAGACTTCTTGAGTATTACTTTAATTGAATAAGCCGTTACTAGTTTTTATATTTTTATTGTCTTAATAAGAATATGACAACTGTTAATTTTTAATGACAATACTCTTTGAAAAAGTTGTCGGAAATATGTTTAAACCAAAGAGACTTCTTGAGTATTACTTTAATTGAATAAGCCGTTACTAGTTTTTATATTTTTATTGTCTTTCTAAAAACCGCAGAATTTTTTCCTTATATTTTCAATTCTTTTTCCCAAAACAGCATTTTTTTAAAAATATTCCGTAAGCAGCATTTTTAAATATATATTGTTTTTACAAAAATGGCATGTTTACAACCAAATATTTTTTTGTTATTCCAAAAGAGCATTTTTTAAAAATATTTTTTGATTAAAAATATAATAAACAGTTTTCCATATACGTCTAAACACAAATCCAGCGAAAACGTACAACCAAATTTATGAAATTGTAAATAGTTGTCGAATATGTTGTATTATTTATGTATCATTTAACATTGAATATACATTGGAAACGCATAATTAATATTTTCGGCATTTTGATACTGTCGCGATTAAAACGTAAGATTTCCATTGTTTTTCCAAATACGTCAAAATGAAACTTTTGAATGGCTGATTTGGTTTTTGTACTGCATTAACCTTCAATAACCTTATTATCATTTATTAAAATTTATGAAATTATAAATAGTTCTTGAAACAATTTTTTATTCTTTTACTAATTATCCGATGGAATATATATTGGGGATGTATAATTGATCTTTTAGGTGTTTTGTTAACGGCACGATTACAACAAATATTTTCCATCATTTTTCCAAATAATGCATTGACAAATTTTAACTTGTTAAAAAACACGAATTCTACGAACCTGAGAATAAGAAAATGTTAACTATAAGTTGTTAGTAACATCACTGAAAAAGTTAAAACCAAAGAGACTCCTCGAATATTACTTTAATTCAATGAGTTTTATTAGTTTTTTTTATATTTTCCATTGTCTTTCCAAAAACCGCATAATTTTTATCATATATTTTTCATTCTTTTTCAAACAGTATTTTTTTTTAAATATTCCATAAACCGCATTTTTTAAATTATCTCCATTGTTTTTACAAAGAGCATGTTTCTTCAAATTTCCATTGTTTCCAAAAAAAAAATATTTTTTAAAATATGTCTTAAGAATATAATGAACAGTTTTCCATTTACGTCTAAACACAAACCAACTCTTCTCCACAATCCAGCAAAAAAATTGCAACCAAAATTTATGAAATTCTAAATTGTTGTAATATTAATCTATCAGTAAAATAACATATAGATCAGGAACGCATAAATATTATTTTCGGCATTTTCTTACTGTCACGATTAAAAACGAATGATTTCCATCGTTTTTCCAAATACTGCAATGTCAAATTTTAAAAATATTAACGATAGAACGTCAAAATGAAACTTTTAAATACTTGATCTGATTTTTTGTACCGAATTAGTCCTAATCAACCGAATTATCATTTGTGATTTAATTTTTGTTGCCTATTATTAAACAACCAAAATTTATGAAGTTGTATTTTTGAAAAATTTTTGTATTATCGCATTTTTTAAATTACCTCCTTTGTTTTTACAAAGCATGTTTATTTTTTCAAATAATTTTCATTGTTTCCAAAAAAGCATTTTTTAAAATATGTTTTGGTTAAGAATTGAACAGTTTTTCATTTACGTCTAAACACAAACCAGCTCTTCTCCGCAATCTAGCAAAAAAAATGCAACCAACATTTATGAAATTGTATTATCAATCTATCATTTAAGGTAAAATATACATTGGGAACGCATAATTAATATTTTCGGCATTTTGATACTATCGCGGTTAAAACGAATGATTTCCATCGAATACTGCATTACGAATTTTAAAAATATTAACGATAGAATTTCAAAATGGAATTTTTAAATGGCTGATTTGATTTTTGTACTGAATTAGTCCTCATCAACCTTATTATCATTTGTTACTTAATTTTTATTGCCTATTAATAAAGAACCAAAATTTATGAAATTTTAAATAAGTTTAAAAAAAAAATTGTATTTTTGTCGTACTAATTATCCATTATTTTCGATAGAATATATGTTGAAAATGTATAATTAACCTTTTAGTAATTTTGTTAACGTCGCGATTAAAATGAATGTTTTCCATCGTTTTTCCAAATAATTCAAAGACGAATTTTAAAAATATCAACGAAAACGTCAAAATGGAAAAATAAAAAATTATTCGGGTTCATCTAAACGATTGAGAGTCTGCAAAATTCTTCGTTGAATATTTCGATTAGTTGATCCATTTTCATAAACCATTTAGCTATAAGAAAAATCAACAAAGGCTTCATTTGTACCGGTAAGTCTTTAAAACACGAATTCTACAGATATGAGAAGAAAATGACTACTGTTAATTATTAGTACTATATCACTAATTAACAAAGTTGTTGAACATATTTTTAAACCAAAGACACTCGAATATTACTTTAATTGAATGAGCTGCTATTAGTTTTTTTATATTTTCCATTGTCTTTCCAAAAACCGCATTTTTTTCATTTTTTATCTATTTTTTTTTCCAAACAGCATTTTTTTAATATTCCATAAACAGCTTTTTTTAATATTCTTTATTGTTTTTATAAAAACAGCATATTTATTTATTCAAGTAATTTCCGTTGTACAAATATTTTTAATTTTTTCAAAAAAAGCATTTTTTTGAAACATTTTATGATTAAAAATATAATAACGAACAGTGGTCCATTTACGTCTAAACACAACCCAACTCTTCTCCGTAATTCAGTAAAAACGTGCAACATTTACAGCTAGTTGTTAATCTCTTCACACTTTTCTGTTATCTAATTTGTTTTTTGGGTCACTACTTAAATCAGTATTTTTGGTTTTTCATCAAAAACATGCCGAACGTTTTAATCTTTTTATCTGTACGTTTACACTTCTAGTTTTTCGACAGACGCCACAGTCTCTGAATAACTGCACATAATTCTCATTATAGTCAAACACTAATCAAAGAAAATCAGCCATGCATTCTGGAATTTAATAGTGTCACTAGCCATTTAATTTCACACCTGTATGGAAGTAACGTTCGATAATTTCTGGTGTTGAATACCATTTTTAAATTATTTTTTTTTTTTTTAATAAAAGTTTCGATAAATTTGACACAAACGTATAATATTTTAATTTTACTATCTTTCTTTTAGAATGACGGAAAAAATAAACAACCGTTTGCAACCCCTACCGGACGGAACAAGCGCAGCTCTCGAATTCGTAAAAGCAATCTGCCACATCATGGGCCTAGATCCAGCCCTACAGGATGAAGTAGATATCTTAAAATGCAATTTACTTCGTTTAATAGGTAATTATTAATTATTTCTAGCGACCAATATTTTCTGAAACGTTTTTGTTTTTAAGGAATCGGCGAGTTTTCTGAAAAGGCCGTCTGGAAAGACCCCACCGTATCTTACGTTATCCCTCAAGTAATTTGTAAGGCCTGCAATCATTGCAGGGACATCGATTTGGGCAGAGATCAGTATAGGTCCGAATCGGCTTGGTTGTGTCCTCTGTGCAATTCAGAATATGAAAACGCGGAAATTGAAAGCGTCATGCTGAACGTTGTTAATAAGAAGTTGTTGACGTATAATTTGCAAGATTTGCAATGCAAGAAATGCGGACAAGTAAGTAGATTTGTTTATCAGATCACTTATAATTTTAATCGATAAATTATTTGTAGATTAAAATGGACAATATACAAAAGCATTGCACGTGTTCGGCTGATTTTAAGTGCCTGGTATCGAAGACTGAAATAATAAAATTACTTGATACGTTTCTGTCGTTAGCGGAAAAATTCAATATGCCCGCTTTGTCTGAGACCGTCAAGCAGATTCTGTTTTTGACTTAGATGAGTTTTAACAAAAACTAATGTTTCCCACTGTTTTTCCAAATATTGCATTGGGCAAATTTTAGAAATAACGAAAAAACGTCTAAATCAAAGCTTTGAAGGACCGATTTGGTTTGACTTAATGCTTCATCAATTTTATTATCATTTGTGATTTAATTTTTATTGTCTAATAATAAAAGTAACCAGAATTTATGAAGTTGTAAAGAGTTTTTAAATAAATTTGTATTTTTGTAATTTTTATCTATCATTATTACTGAATATGCACTAGCAACGCTGAAATAACATAAAATAATGTTTTTCATTGTTTTTCCAAATAATTCAATAGCGAATTTTGAAAATATCAACTAGGAACGACGTTCAAAATTATTTGATTTTTATACTGAATTGGTATCTCACCAACCTAATTTTCATTTGTGATTTAATATTTAAAGGTAACCAACATTTATGAAGTAGTAAATAGGTGTTGAATATGAAGAGCTTACAGCAAAAATGATCAAAATAGCTTTTTTAAATGTGTTAAATAATGACAAAATAGCTGAGAGTCTGTAATATATGCTAAACTGGTTTACACAGCAATTAAGTTCATAGCTACGAAGTTGTTTCAGAAAAAAAAAGGTGTGCATAGCAAACACGATGAATATGACCTTCATATTGTATTCTTATACATCAAGCATTCAAAATTGAATATACATTGAACGTATTTAGGTATTTTGTTTCTGTCGCGATTAAAACGAATGTTTTCCATCGTTTTTCCAAATAATGCATTAACGAATTTTAAAAATAATAACCATAGAATCTCAAAATGGAATTTCTGGATGGCCGATTAATTTTTTTGTACTGAATTATTAATTATCAACCTTATAATCTTTTGTTATTAAACTTTTGTTGCTTATTAATAAAGAACCAAAAAATATGAAGTTGTAAATAGGTGTTGAAAAAATATTGTATTCTTGTATTAATTATCTATTATTTACGACAGAATATACATTGGGAATGTATTAATACTCTTCTAGGTATTTTGTTACCGTTGCGATTAAAACGAATGTTTTCCAAATAATACATTGACGAATTTTCAAAATATCAACGAAAATCGTCTCAATGAAATTTTTGAATGGCTGCTTTGGTGTTTTGTTCTGAATTAGTAGCTCACCAACCTTAATATTATTATTTTTGATTTAATTTTATTGCTTATTAATAGAGGTAAACAAAATTTATGACTTTGTAAATAGTTTTCGAATAGTGTATTCTTATTGTATTATTTATCATTTAAGACTGTATATACATTCTTTTTGGTATTTTAATGTCCCTATTAAAAAATTATTAAAAATGTTTTTCCTCGTTTTTCCAAATAATGCAATGGGCGAATTTTAAAATATCAACATAAGAACGTCTAAATCGAACCTTTGAAAGATCGGTTCGATATATTGATTTAAATTAATATCTCGCAAATCTTGTTAATGTTTGTGATTTAATTTTTGTTGTCTATTAATAAAGGTAACCAAATTTATGAAATGCTTTAAAAAAATGTATTCTTATGGTGTTACTTATTCTATTATTTAGGATCGGATTTACATTACAAACACGGTATTACCCTTGTCGGTATTTTGTTACCGTCGTAATTGGAACGAACGTCTTAAAATTTAATATTATTTATTATTAAAGTTTTGTTGCTTATTATTAAATAACCAAAATTCATGAAGTTGTAAAAAATTTGTACTCTTGTCGTACTTATTACCTATCATATATATTGGGAATGTATAAACAACCTTTTAGGTGTTTTATACAGTTTGATTGAAACAAATGTTTTCCATCGTTTTTCCAAATAATGCATTGACGAATTTTAAAAATATCAACGAAAACACGTCAAAATGGAACCTATGAAAGATAAGTTCGGTTTATTGATTTGAAATAATACTTCGCCAGTCTTGTTAACATTTGTTATTTAAGTTTTGTTGTCTATTAATAAATTTATAAAATAGTTTTTGATTAAATTATTCTTTAAGTATCATTTATCTATCATTCAGGATTGGATATTCATTAGTAACACAGAATTACCCTTCTCGCTATTTCATTATTGTCGCAATTAAAACGAATATCTTCCATCGTTTTTATCATTTGTAATTAATATTATTTGTTGTCTATTTAAAGTTAACCAACATTTATGAAGTTGTAAATAGTTGTTGAATATGTTGTATTCTTATTGTATCAATCATTTAATAGTGAAAATATATTGGAAATGTAGAAAACCCTTTTCGGTATTTTATTGCTGTCGCGATTAAAATTAATGATTTCCATTGTTTTTCCAAATATTGCATTGCCGAATTTTATAAATATTAAAGATGGAATTTTCGAATGGCTGACAAAATTATCATTTATTTAATTTTTGTCGATTATTAATAAAGAACCAAAATTTATGAAGTTGTAAACAGTTTTTGAATGTTGATTCTTGTCGTACTATAATTATCTATAGAATACAGAATATATATATATATATATATATATATATATATATATATATATATATATATATATATATAGAATATAATTATCTATACAATACATTGATATGGAAACCTCTTTTGCCTCCGATTTCCAACCAATAATAATCTGAATTTCGGGGTGGGTTCAAAGATTTAAAATATTGTATAAAATTAGTAACAAATAAAAAAAATTGATTGTTTTCTTTCTTCTTCTTCTTCTTCTTGCTCACAGTTTACATCTGCCTATATTTATCGTCTTTGCCTGTCTCTACCTGAATGATTATCTATCTCTACATGTGTGCTAATCTCTACTGTCGCCAGCTTATTTCTGCTACTTATATGTTATGTTGATAATGGGGTGTTAATACACTGCGACCTAAAATATCTATTGTGTCCCCTTCTGTCGCCACTGCACTAAGGAAATGTCTCAATGCCTATAGCGACCCTTCCAATCCTATTTTCTCAAGGAAGTGTAGGATTTGAAGTGGCTTCAAGTTAGGTAAGTCTCCCTCTTCTATTTGATATCCTCCTAGATATAGTGCCCTTGGATTCTGGAGTGCTACACATTCAGTTAGGATGTGAATGGAGGTTTCGTCCTCCTCCTCACAGAATCTGCACTCACTATCCTCTACTACTCTCAGTTTACTTAGGTGTCCTTTTAGTCGGCAGTGCCCGGTAAGGATCCCTGTTACAATACGTAGCCTGTTCTTGCTCAGGCAGATGAAGGCTTCCGATCTTTTTTGGTTATATTCACCCAGAAGTATCTTGGCCTGTCTCAGATCCAAGAGATTGTTCCAATTATCGGTTCTTCTACTACCCAATTCTTTTTTAATCTCTTCTAATATTATGTTACTGCTGATACCGCAGAACGGCTCAGGTCCTACAAAGGGTGTTTGAGCCCCTTTCCTTGCAAGACTATCTGCAATCTCGTTACCCTGTACCCCGTTATGTCCCGGGACCCAAGTGAGAGTAACTCTATTTTTCTCGCCTAGCTCATTCAATTGTTCTAGGCATCTCCATACCATTTTTGAGCTGATTACGTAAGAACTCAGCGCTTTGATGGCTGCTTGACTATCGGACATGATGATAATCTCTTGTCTATGATAGTTTCTCTCGATGTTAAACTGGATACACTTCTCGATGGCGTAAATTTCCGCCTGGAAGATGCTTGGGTATTTTCCCAAGCTTTCGGAGTGCTTGGTTCTCGGCCCATACACCCCTATTCCAGTTCCTTCTATGGTTTTGGAACCGTCCGTGTACCACTGAATAGCACGTCTTTCGGTTGCAAGCGCGATGTATTCTTGGCTCCATTCTTTCTTGCAGCCCAGCTCTGTGGTTTTGAAGTTTTTCACAAAACTGTACTTCTTTTGCATTTCATCCTGGGGCATGTCTCAGGTATCTTTAGTCCTGAAGCAAGTAGACTTTCGTCTGATTACTCCGCTCCTGATCATTCTATATCGTGTCCTTTTTGCCACATTCTCTATCATCAAATGTAGAGGGGCGAGGTTTAAGATCACCTTCATTGCGGCCGTAGGACAGGTTCTCATTGCACCAGTAATGCAAACACAGGCTAGTCTTTGTACTTTTGAGATATTAGCTCTCGTAGTAACTAAACTAGTTCTGTTACTCCAGGCTATAGCCCCGTAAGTGATGATTGGTCTCACTATTGCAGTATACATCCATCGCAGTATGTTTGGGTTACATCCCCATCGTTTACCCGCCATGTTTCTGCATACCATTAGGGCTTTTGTGGCCTTATTTACTACTTCCTTCTCATGTGTGTTCCAGAGAAGTTTGTTGTCCAGGGTTAGGCCTAGATATTTGACTTCATTTTTCCATTCTATATCTATCCCGTCTAATTTAACGGTTTTGAGATTAAGTTTTCTTTTCCTTGAAAAGGCTACTAGTGTTGTTTTTGTAGGGTTTATACTAAGTCCCACTTCACGGCACCATCTTTTGGTATGTTCTAGTCCTCTTTGGACTATATCACACAGGATATTACTAAACTTGCCACTAGCAAATATGACTATGTCGTCGGCATAACCTTGACAGGGTATGCCGAGGTCAGTCAATCTGCATAGAAGTTCGTCTACGATTAGGCTCCACATTAGTGGGGATAGAACTCCTCCTTGTGGACATCCTCTGGTTGTGCAGATGGAGATGGTGTCCTGCCCTATCTGTCTCTGCAGTTCTCGAAGATAACAGCTGAGCCATCCATCTGGATGTGATGTTATCTACTCCTCTGTATGCAAGTGCTCTTTTTACAGATTCGTGTGGCGTGTTGTCAAAAGCTCCTTCTATGTCTGTCTATTTTTTATAGAAAGGCACACACGACCGTTTCTTTGTTTGTCAGTGCATCCTGGATTACATCAGTCAACTGTACCAGGGCAGTTTCTGTAGATCTTCCTGCTCGGTACGCGTGTTGGCTGTGGTGGAGTGGCATCCTCTCCAGGACTTCTGTTCTGATATAGTTATCAACAGCCTTCTCCATTGTTTTTAATACAAAGGATGTGAGGCTGATTGGACGGAAAGATTTAGGATGTGTGGTATCCTTTTTCCCTACTTTTGGAATAAAGGTGACTCTGGCCCTTCTCCATGCTTCTGGTATTTCTGCTACTTCCACTGATTTCTGTTTTTCTTTGTAATATTTTTAAATAAAACTTTATTTACGTCTTATTCTTTCTATAACTTCATTTATTTTCTATCTTTCCACATTTTTAATAAACATAACATTCACATCCGCTAATATCTTTCCTAAAATTAAATTTTCCTTGACAATTTTAAAATTCCATCTCTCATTTAATAATAATAATAATAAACTTTATTTGCAACTTCAATTTTTTTATACAGATATAAAACATGAGAAAAACAAAACATGTTTCAAAGAAGGCTGCAAAAAGGAATGGTGAACAATAGAGACTGATCAAAGCACCAGCCCTAAAATATGTCCAACGCCACAAGACATCGTACAAAAAACTATATAATATAAACAAATATGATTTTTTTTTTAACAAAATATGAACATCCTAAAATGTAGGTAGCTATTACTTTGCTGTGTCGAGAAGAAACTTTTTATAAAATTTTTTACAGACATTTCTTTAAAACGTTCTGGGATATCATTGTACAAAGCGTAAATGTTAAGGTGAAAGACCGTCTGAAAATAGCAGTATTATGTATTGGAGGTGAGATACGACCTCAAAAACGTAGACTTAGATTATGAACATCAGAACGATACCTTATTTTATTAAAAAGATATGGAGGAGATTTATTTAAAATAATAGAATTAACAGATTTGCCGAGTGTAAGACTCGTCTGGATTTCATATTAGCCAGTTTGAATCCTTGAGTGTATGTGAGACTCTGTCGAATTTCCGTATTCCATATGAAAATCTTACACAAGATTTCTGTACTATCTGAATTCTAGTTAAGTCTGCGCTATCTAAACAGGGCCCATATCACAAAAGTTAAAATTACTCAGAACTAGGGAATCTGTTAATAATATGTTTGTTGAAGTTGGAAGAATATGTCGATGTGGGTAAAGTATTTTTAGATTCATATAAGCTGTTTGAATGCACTTGTTAACGTGAAGTTTAAACCTCAAGTCATTATCAATTACTAAACCTAAGTTGCGAGCAGATGAGGAAAATGATAATATATTTCCATCAACTAGAATCTGCATTTCATTCTGTAGTTGATGTCGGTATTTACCAAATAACATTACCACACTTTTAGAAGAATTAATATGATTACTTGCTTCTAAAGCATTTTCATGATCGAAAGAAAATTTAATTTGAGTATCATCTGCATAAAAGAATGGCTTACCATTATTAATGCTATTCCCAAAGTTGGAGGTTTATAGTGGAAATAATAAAGGCCCAAGTATTGATCCCTAAGGAACTCCACAGGAAATCTGCTTAGTATTTAATAAACCTGCATCAGTAACAACAAATTGCTTCCTGTTATCAAGGAAGTGTGACCAAAGTCTAATTTATTTTTAGTTTATTTATTTAAAAACACTATTTACAATTTATTTCAGACGTACTATTCAATTTATATAATACTAACTAACAATTTAATTTATTTCTTATACTTTAACTTTCCAATATAATGTTCTATATTAAAACTAAACTCGGCGCTGATACGTCGGCTATTTATATTAGTCCAACTCCGCTACTGGAAAATGCTAGAGGCTCTCGAAGATTCCACTTCTATGACTAAACGGCACTCCCCGCCGTTCCAGCTGTTTCTAGTACATCAGCGGCAGGCATTCCATCGTATTCTTGTATATTCGAGACGCGGGCCGGCTGTTTCCACACGTCAGCGTTGCTTCGATCACGAGTCGGTTGCCATGTGAAGGTTGCGTGCGTACACAGGGTTGGATTAGGAATTTCATGACAGTAGCTATTAAATAGTCTAATAACATCATTAGAGCAATCAATAAAATATAATATTGAGAGTAAAATTGTATGATTAATAGTATCGAATGCTTTGGAATAATCGAGCATAACAAGTGCTGCTGTTTTTTTAGCATCAATGTCTCTGAAGAGATTATCATCAGTGACATCAAGTAGAGCTGTAGTACAACTATAGCCAGAACGAAAACCTGACTGTCGCAGTGGAAGTATTTCACTATTTTCTAATTGGAATTTCATGATTATTTCAATTACTTTGGATAACACTGGCAGGATATAGATGGGACGCAAATCGTTCACACTCGTTACGTTCTTCTTCTTGGGCAAAGGAAAGACTTGATAACTTCCAAGATTGCGGAAAAAAGCAATCGGTGAGGCAAATATTTATGATGTGTAATTATAGGTAAAATTTCAGGACAGTAAAGAAGTAGCATGTTAATATTTAACTTATCTGCTCCCGAAGCTATAGACTTTATTTCGATCAAATACTTTCCCGCTGACGATCAATATAAAAAAAAATGTTTCCCTCAAAAACAAAAACATCCCTCCCATTTACTATTACATAAAATTTTCTATACCCCACCCCGATATTGCTATTTCCAATTTTATGACGTCATCCAGAAATTTCCATATATATTTGGGCATGTATAAATAACGTTTTAGGCGTTTTGTTACCTTACACGATTAAATCGAATGTTTTCCAACGTGTTTCCAAATAATGCAATGACGAATTTTAAAAATATCAACGAAAAACGTCAAAATGAAACTTTTGTATGGCCGATTTATGTGTAATGTTTAATTTATTTATTTATAACGTACTAATTTATATAATACTTAGGCACTATTACAACTCACAATTTAATTTATTTATTACAATTTATCTTTTCTATGCAACACTTAAATTGAAACTTATTGTCTGTCGACAAGTCGCGCTATTTATATAAAAATGCAACACTCGAAAGAATCAACTCTTACTAGAAACCCAGTCTAGAAGTTCTGGAACTTATTCTCCAAGTGTCAACTGCGATGGAAAACATTCGATTCGGTTTCTCGAGATGGGTCTCGATATGGCCAGCGCTAGACTTCCGTCGAGGGTACAGTAATAAACAAAGAACAGAGTTGGCTTTGCGCGACAGTTGTTCTACATTGATAGCGCACCAACCTTATTATCATTTTTGATAAAGGTAACCAAAATTTATGAAATAATTTTTGAATAAATGTATTCTTGAAGTATTATTTATGTATCATTTAGGATGGGATATACATCAGGAACACATAATTTCTCCTGTCGGTATTTCGTTACAGTTGCAATTAAAACGAATGTTTTCCATTGTTTTTCCAAACAATCCAATGATCGAATTTTAAAAATATCAATAAAAGAACGTTAAAATCGAACCGATGAAAGGGGCTATTTTTTTTTTTTTTTTTTAACCTCACCAATTTTATTCTTATTCTTGTATTATTTATCTATTATTTAGGACTTGATATACAATGGGAATGCAGAATAGCAAACAAAAAAAATCATTATTTCAATAATAAATTTATTAAACATACTTTTATATCATAAAGGGATATCACATTGTAAATAATAACCTGTCCCCTTCTATTAACAAATAAAAACAAAACCGATAAGAGGACTGATAAAAATAATCCTCTTTCGAATAAAGAATACTTTTTTTTTGGATATAAAAATACAATCTAAAAACTACGAAGTTCATAAAAATACAATAAAAATAAAAAATGTCATCTGTTATTTTTTGATTATTAACGTGGAACTGTATATCAATTTTGTATGATTATCTTAATCCCAGTTCAATTCGACTCCATAACATTTATCACAGTAAAAAAATAGTTTTGACATAAATCCCACTAGCCAAATGTAGACGGCAACCTTTAAATATTTGATAAGTTTTATAAGAATATCTCAATAATTTCTATTGTTTCAATTATTACAGCGATTTTAAATTTAACCCTTTTTAGTCTTATTTTCACCTACATCAATTTCGTTGGATTCGATCTCAGTCTCCATCTTTTCTTGCGTTACTTTATATTTGTTATCGCTAGTACTGCTGCTGGCCTCGTAAGAAGTACTAGCCCTGGAAGAGCTAGAATAACCGTGAATCATTCCCGCTCCCGTTCTTTTCATTAGACCTTTCGGGGTAATCACTCTCGCGTTGTGGGCTATATTGTACACATTTCCCATAGTTGATAAAGTGTCTCCTGTTAGGGTACTTGCGGGATAACCATATCTAAAATAATAATATTTAATCATCCAAAACGTACAAAATAGTTTATATAATATATACAGTGTTTAGAACAAAAAAGGGCAAGTTATTCTCACAGGTGGTGCAACTCTGGTAGAAAACCGTTATTTCCTCGGGCGCCAGTTTATTTAAGATATTACAGCAGTAGTGTTGTCAACTGATTTATATAACACGATCTAAATTAAATATGTGTTCTAAAACAAAGCAATGCACCATGATCTGATTGTATAGTCTATTTTTATGTATGAGAGAGTAATAAAACAGCATTTCTAATGCAAAACTTAGTACGGTCATTTTAAATATTTTTACAGAATAATCTAAATATTTCCTAAAATTGTAATAAATGTACCTGAGTTTTGGGTCTTTTATTGGTCCTTTATAAACATAAGCTATACAGAACAATAGAAAAAGGTTTGGACAGGCTAAAAGCCCTGTATATTAAAGATTACATAGCCGTATCTTAAGATTATTTTCAATAAGTACCTATTTGCCAATTTTGTTTTATTTTAATTCCAAGAATTTCTTACAGTAATCGAATTATAAGTAGATAAATACCTTCCCAACAAATTTCACCGAAAATGCGATTATAGGTTTTCCATTTAGTAAGGAGGTCCAAGTTGTGTATTCTTGACAGTTTACTAAATGTCGTTTAGTTGCAACTTGCAAGGTGCAGTGTGAATTCTAGTGTGATCATGAAAAATTTGGAAGGACCGCGTAAACGACAAAAAATCGGTCCTTTAACAGTTAATGAAGAAACATTAATATTTAATTGTTTTAAATCATTTACAAACATTTATGTAAAAGTGTTGATGACACAGTGGAATTAGTTATTAGTACGCTTGGTGTTGGGAAATCTACGATTTACAGAGTTGTTAAAGAAGAGAAATGTGGCGAGTTTCAAACAGCACGTAAAGCTCCAGGAAAACCAAAATTTCAATTAGAAAATCTTTTGAAAGAAAGACTTCGAAGGAAAGTGCATGCATTTTTCTTTAGAAAAGAATTTCCGACAGTAGACAAAGTTCTTGCCACGGTTCCAGATGATAAGGATTACCCTGAAATGAGTCGAAGCACACTATGGAAACTTTTAAAAGAAATAGGTTTTCTATGAAAAAAGCATTTCAGAAAGTCTATTTTAATAGAAAGAAGCGATATTGTAGTATGGAGAAGAAATTACCTAAGGACTATAAAAGAAATGAGAAACCAAAGAAGAAATATATTTTATTTAGATGAAACATGGATCAACGAGGGATATAAACCAAATAAATTTTGACAAGATGAAACTGTTACAAGTCGAAGACAGGCTTTTTTAAATAATTTATCTACTGATTTAAATCCACCATCAGGAAAGGGGCGCAGACTAATAATAGTACACATCGGTAGTTCAAACGGTTTTGTTAAAGGTGGTTTATTGACTTTTGAATCTACTCGTACCGGTGACTACCATGAGGACATGAATGCTGATGTCTTTAAAGAGTGGTTCGAACAAATTATAGATCTTCTTAGAACTGTATATTAGTAATGGATAATGCAAGTTATCACTCGAGACTTATAGAAAAAATGCCCACAACCAAGTGGTTAAAAAAAGATTTACAGAATTGACTAAATTCAAAGAACATTAAGTTCCATCCCAATTCTGTGAGAAAAAAACTGTATCATTTGTGTTCCCTTCATAAAGAGAAATTCAAAAAATATGAAATTGATGAAATCGCAAAAAATCGTGGGATGACGGTGGTTAGATCACCATCATATCATTGCGAAGTAAACCCGATTGAACTGATATGGGCACAGATAAAGGGAGAAGTTTCAAGAAAAAATAATTCTTTTAAAATGAGTGATGTTAAACAGTTGTTTTTGGAGGCTGTTAATAATGTGAAGCCTGAAAACTGGGAAAAGGCAGTAAATCATAGGATTAAAGAAGAAGAGAAAATGTAGAAGTTGGACAATATTACTGATGAAATGTTCGAGCCACTCATTGTAAATATTGGTTGCGGCAGTTCATCTTCTGATTTCGATTCTGATTTGGATTTGTAGGTAAGAAGTAGTTTTTATATTAAAATTATTATTTATGAACGTAACGTTGTTTAAAAGTCAAAGTTTAAACCCTTATACCTACATAACCCGTTTGACACAATGTTCTTAACACACCTTGTGGAAAAATAAAACATTTTAGAAAAAAATTGCACTTTTTTACCTTCAGCTGTTTAGAAGTTATAAGCAGGTTAATTAGGTGAAAATATAAGTGTATACTCGAGGAATAACTTCAAAAAATATTTTAACTGTCTACTAAAAGAAGTGATACGCCTATGGATTACGAACGCTTTATTATTTTAATACTCTCTCATACATAAAAATAGATTATAGATACTTCAAATATGGTATTTTAAACATTTATGAGTGTAATTACTCTACATTGATGTGCTTGTATACAAACCACTTACTTATGTTCGACAATTTTGACAGTATTCTCCTTAAGGCTGTTTCCAAGAACGGCTGCAGACGTCTCCAGACCTCTATAAATGGCGGAAAAACCTTCAACCGCGCCGGCTGCGACTGTCAGTACGCCCTTCATCTTATCAGACGCCTGTTGTTCTGGGATATTAAATCCTTTCACCAACAGTTTGGTACCACCATTTTGGATATGTGGCGCTAAGTACTGTCCCAAACGGACTGTCGCTATGCCGACTTTTTCCGCTGAAAATACATATAAATGGCGAAATTTAGTAACCAAATTTAGCCGAAAAGAAAGTAAATATGGGTTATAAATCTCTGATTTACCTATAAAACCGGTTACTTTAGCAGCCTTGTTTGTAGCTGTCTCGGCAACTTGCATACTCGTGACCAGCGGTCGAGGAACGTGAGCCGGCTGCGAGGCCGGTTGCATTTTAGTCATCAAGACCGGCGTTTTTGTATTAAAGTATTCACCCGCCTTTTCAGCTCCCCTCACTATTCCACGAGATAGAAAAAACGCACCTAAAACAAAACAAAGGAAATAGAGGTAGTTTTGGGATTTTTAATATATCGACACTTAAATTTTAATAATATCGTTTCAATTACAAAACAACACTCATTTAATGATCCAGAGATTTCGTTTAGTAATTAAATTTATGTTTTTATAACTCGCTCTCATTAGCTTGTTGAGAAGAAATGTAGAAAAATAATAGTACCTAGTTCTTCGTTTTTAACAGCGAGAGTGAGAAGCGGGAATTTTGGGATTTCGAGATGGTAAGTTGTAGATTTTCGATTCGCCAACTCTTTACCTAGGATCAGATTAAAATTACGTAATCATGTAATCGAGTGGTTGCGTCGCCAGTATCGATGGAAATTAATATATTGGCTTGGTACAGTCAGCAATTATTATTCATTTTGTGGTGACATTTGTTTTTGGGTAGTTCCAATGTCAAGTACAGACGGCGCTGCCATTTTAAGGTATTTATTTATAAATTTGCCATAACTTTTTTGTTTTACTATTTCAAGCATCTCTCTGGTTTAATGGTTCTATAATTAAGAAACTTCGGAAAAAGTCTAAACTTCATCACTTATATCAGAATAAGAATAATATTCAAGCTCATTAGAGCTGTAATTAAAACTTATGTATCTGAAGCTTATAAAAATTACAGAGCAAATCTTGAATCTGAACTCTCAGCAAATTCAAATAAATTTTGGGCATATGTTAATAATAAACAATGATAAAGTTGCAAGCACCATAAGTTTTGAAAATAAAACATTAAATAATCCAACAGAAATAGTAGAAAGCTTTGCGGAATATTTTGGCCAATCATATGTCGCTTCCAAGGGTTCATTTAACTCATGTTTCTGAAACCCAGGCCCAGGATGCTTTTAAAAACATTAAACCTAAACGTACACAGGACCTGATCATATTCCTGTGTTCATTTTAAAAGATTGTTCACCAGCATTAGCTCGCCCTCTATTTTGATAAATATCTGCCTTAAATCCAATACAATTCTCTCGATGTGGAAATGTTCTAAAGTATGCCCAATTTTTAAAAAAGATGAACGAACTGATATCAAAAATTATAGGCCGATTTCTATCATTTGCAATATCTGTAAAATTCTAGAAATATTACTGGAACGTAGTATTTATCAACATGTTTGTAACACAATCTCAGCTCAACAACATGGTTTTGTTAAAGGGCGTTCCACAGTAAAAAATCTTTCTATAATTACACAGCAATTAGCTGATAATATTGTTAATCGGGTCCAAACTGACGTCATCTATACAGATATGACAAAAGCATTTGATAGACTTGATCATATTATGATACAGAAACTGCGTATTTAGTCTTTCTAATAGTTTGATTGCACTTTGTCAATCGTATCTCTCTCAAAAACAATATGTTCAATAGACTGGGCCAAAAAAATTGACTATTTTTTTTTTGAAAAATATATCGAGAATATCATTCAGGATGACAAAAAAAATGCCCTTCATATTAATTTTAAGAGGTCTATCATCGCTATTTTTGATTTTTAGACATATTTTACATTAGAAAAATTCCTTTTCACTTATTTTTAAAAAATTTCAATTTTTTCTTCGATTTTAATCGTGAATAACTTTTGAAGAATTAAATTTAGGCAAAAATTTTAAGAGACCTTTTTTGTAGAACATTAAATTTCCTTTAAGAATCCGACGTGAGCTTTTTTAAATATTAATTGATTCATTAGTTATAAAATTTCAAAGTAAAAAGGACAAATCGGAAAAACACTTCGATCTATTATGCTCAATTACTCGGAAACGGCTCGTCTGACGAAAATTTTCAATCAGACCTAGAGAATTTAATTTTATATAATAAGTGAAAATAAATTTTTTTCACTTTAATAATTTGACATTTCTAACGTAAAACATCAAATTATGACTAAAAATCAAAAACAGCGATGATAGACCTCTTAAAATTAATATTAAGGGCTCAAATTTTCACGAATTTTTATTTTGTCATCCTGAATGACATTCTCGATATAGTTAAAAAAAAAATAGACAATTTTTTTCTCCCAGTCTAATGTTCAACTAAATGGATTCAAGTCTAAACAAATATTGCGCTACCTCTGGTATACCGCAAGGTTCAAATTTGGGTCCGCTGTTATTTAATATTTTTATCAACGACATTGGTGGCGCTATAAAGATTATTTGCTGTATGCTGATGACTTAAAAATATATTTAGCTATTGAAAATATTTCTGAGTGTGAACGGTTGTCGGAAAATTTGAACAAAGTTGTTGAACGGTGCAACAAAAATGGCCTTACACTGAATCCCGTCAAATGTAACGTAATGTCATACACATTTAAAGCGCATCCAATTAATTATATTCGATTATGGATTGCTTTCTAGACCTAAAAATTTTGTGGATATAATGACCCAGAATTGTCGTTCAAATACCACATAGATAACATTTCAACAGCAGCAAACCGTATGTATGGATTCATAGTACGACTGGGCCGTGATTTTAAAAACATAGATACTATTAAGGTAGGAGTAAAGTTTTTAAACTTTTTTTTTTGCTTTTTTTTGCTTTTTTTTATATTTGATTTTGTGAATGGAGAACCTTTCAAGAATATTGTGTGAAAATTTGAGATGAATCGGAGCAAAACTAACGAAGATACAGCGGTTTGAGTAACCGCGCCTCATACATGACTCAGCGCATCAGAAAATAGCTGCCCGGTCCGAACGCGCTATTGTTACCTGGCAGCAAGGGCGGCTCCAGGGGGGGGGGGGTGAAGGGCTATGGGGACCATGGCCCCCCGGGATGAAAATTCTTACGATTTATGAGCCTTTTATTCAAAAAAATATGCTAAAAAGACCTTGCCTGGCAGCTGTTTCGCTCTCTATATAATCCCTCACCTTACCTCCTACCTTTCTTTATAGAAATTTTAACACAAGTACAAACGTGTTTATATCTGTACTGTATATAATTTAGTGTAGCATTGGCGTGGCATGTTCTTTTGCTTTACTAACCTACATGCAAGACATGGAAATCAGTAGTAGATCAAGCGCTTATGAATGAGGATTCGTCGTAGACAGGAGCAAAAAGATGTGGTATACACCATAAATGATAGCAACATCCTTTATGGACCTGGCATCTATGATTCAGTGTGTTAACATCTATAAAATAATTTTGTACGCCAATGTATCACCTCCACTTCGATGTGTATAAAGTGGGAGAACTGGCAACGCCTTTTTGAGTTCTGCCCCTCTGCCCCTGCTATAAGAGTCATCAAATAATATCGCCAACAAAATTGTAACGTGTTATATTTAGATGAGACTTGGGTCAAAGTGTGTCAAACAGTTAACTATGCATGGTGTGATAACACCAAAAAAAATCATAGATATTCTTTTATAAATGATTTAATCACAGGCCTCGAAGTACCCACACAAAGAGGTCCACGTTTCATTATTGTCCATGCAGAATATGAAAGTGGATTTTTACCTGGCGCCGCGCGTTTTCTTGGTAAAGATGGCAATTATCATGACGAAATGAACGCCGGCTATTTTGAGCAATGGTTTGAGCAGTCGCTGATTCCTAACTTACCCAAAAATGGACGAAGTAACGTTGTTGTTGTTATGGATAACGCTTCGTTATCATTTCTGTAAATCATGGAACACGAAATAAAAAAATTGGCTGTTTGAAGTTATATAAATATAAGATTGAGGAAATAGTTGCAAAACACTTGGTAACTGTTTTAAGCTTAACCCGATCGAGATGGTATGGAATCAAGTAAAGCGCTATATTGCTATGAACAGCTTTGATTTCAAGACACAGGATGTTTGTTCATTGATAGATGAGCATTTGAACATGTCACTGAACAAAATTGGTGTAATTACGTTACACGTGTCAGAGAAAAACGGAAAAAGAAATATGGGTCGCCAATAATCTCCAAGACAACATTGGTGAACTCATTAAAAGAGTAAATTTTGGCGTCAGATGTGAGAGTGAGATTTCAGATCTGGACGATGACTTATCTATTGCATAAAATTGGTTTATTATTTGTTAACTTATAAATTTGTAATTTTGAAATTCATTGTTTATTATATATTATTGATTATACAAATTTTGAGATCAAATTTAAACCCGTGTCTAAATTTGCCTAAGACCGGACTTGTTTTTTAGCCGATCCCAGCATAGCGACGACTGGCAACATGCTTCACACTGCATTATCAGTGTGACTCGCACTATAGCATGTTTCCTTTTTTTTATTTTAACAAAATCAATTCATTCACAAGGTAGTTATTGTTTTTTTTACTTTCCTATCTGTATACAGATATAAGGAAAGTATAGGAATCATGATTTTTTTCGACCTCGAGTTTTCGACGGATTTTTACGTTTTGAGGTCCCCTGAATCCGTTTTGACTATTTTCGCGATGATGTCTGTGTGTGTCGTGTGTGTGTGTGTGTGTGTGTGTGTGTGTGTGTGTGTGTGTGTGTGTGTGTGTGTGTGTGTGTGTGTGTGTGTGTGTGTGTGTGTGTATGTGTATGTGTATGTGTATGTGTATGTGTATGTGTATGTGTATGTGTATGTGTATGTGTATGTGTATGTGTATGTGTATGTGTATGTGTATGTGTATGTGTATGTGTATGTGTATGTGTATGTGTATGTGTATGTGTATGTGTATGTGTATGTGTATGTGTATGTGTATGTGTATGTGTATGTGTATGTGTATGTGTATGTGTATGTGTATGTGTATGTGTATGTGTATGTGTATGTGTATGTGTATGTGTATGTGTATGTGTATGTGTATGTGTATGTGTATGTGTATGTGTATGTGTATGTGTATGTGTATGTGTATGTGTATGTGTATGTGTATGTGTATGTGTATGTGTATGTGTATGTGTATGTGTATGTGTATGTGTATGTGTATGTGTATGTGTATGTGTATGTGTATGTGTATGTGTATGTGTATGTGTATGTGTATGTGTATGTGTATGTGTATGTGTATGTGTATGTGTATGTGTATGTGTATGT